ACTTATATGATATCTAATATAGTATCCTCCCCAATATTTCTTGAACTTCAATTCGAATACCTTCTCCGTTTTTCCCGCACTCTACTCAATCTTTAAGCTCGCTTGCATCTCTCGTTCAAATATATTGCACGTCTTAATTGAACGACAAGAAATGTGCATAAGTTATTTAAACTCGCATAGAATCAACATCCTATTCTCACGTGTTTGGCACCCCTGGCTTATAAACAGGTACAACGATCTGTTTCCTATGGCTTATACATGCCTGAGCTTTAGAAGCGACCGCTTTTACAATATTTGAGTCTATGACGGCAAGCTAGCGGGACTGAACTGTCTACTCGTGTTGGAAAGAAGTTTTGTGTGAAATATATAGTCAATAAATCTATAGCCAACGTGTTGGTCCCACAATTGCTCACTGAATGGATTGTTTGTCTTCCTGCAAAGAAGATTATGTGGAATATTAGTGTACATATCACGATATCCAGTATTCGACTATGGTAATGGTGTTGGTCCATTAGAGATCACCTTGCCATATCAATAAATTGTTAGAAGGAGCAGGGCAGTTAAAGATTCTTTTCTCATCAAATGTAGACAGGATTGAATAGATTGAAGTGAACTGGGTATGGGATTTGTAGCTACCATTAAAAGGTACTCCGTGGGCTCCTAGGTATTTGATGTATCGGACATTGTACTTTGTGCATTCGAAAGTTGTAATGAAACAAGATACCGACTAAGGAGGCAGTGACCTAGTAGATACATATATAAGCCCACTAGAGGCTTGTTACCTATTTAGTCAAGAATTCGTATACCAACTGTATCCATGGATCATACCATAACCTTACCTTACTCATCATCAGAAAAGGTAAAATCACTGACGAGCTCGAGTATCGAGGAGATGATTCCGAAGTGTATCTAGCGAAGGAGTTGATATTTGATCTAGCATCCATGTTTTCAATTGTGGTTGTACTCTGCTTTAAGAAGTATCTACTCGAGTGGTCGCGGGCTCCTGGGTAGACTCGGTAGAATCGATTCTCGAGAACTAGGCCTGGGCCGGGATACTTTCAGGTTCGTCGGTCAGGAAGATTTTTCAAATCACGTGAGTTTGACTTGACCAAATTTATTTCTCATGACTAGTTTCAATGTCGACCCGCCACTTCCCATACCCATAGCAACCTTCATCGCATTGCACTTTTACACTCCATCTCACACTTTTTTTTGGAATGGCAAAAAGGATACTCCCAGGGTTGACTTCTTACTCACCACAGTCCATATCAAAATCATTAGTCGGTCTTAAACCTATCGCACAACACATACCAGCTCCCTGGGAACGGACTAAGCCTGTAAGTCGGCACCATTTACTTATAGCTGCGTACTTCGACGAAACATGGACGCAAAAAGTTCTTGCCGATGAAAAAATTGGTTTCCTTGCAAGGAGACATCTATTCAACCCTCGATTTGAGCCCACACTTCGAGAAAGAATCCCTAATAAATACGCATTTCGTTTGGATTGGCTTCTGAAGCAACTTGCGGACGAGCAAGGCAGTTTCTCAATGGATCCTTTCGAGAGCGAACCTGAATACAATTTTCATGCAGATACCGAAACTGTTAAAATAAATGTCGAAAGAAATAGAAGCAGTGCATATATCCCGATAACATCCCAGCCATTCGTTGAGCTCAAAAGGTCCCTACTTCGTAAGGTCGAAAAGGAATTTCCCCCAAGTAACATTGTTGGAAAGAAACCCGAGGGATGGTTGCGTACTTGGTCAAATCTCCCGGAGAGATCTTCAAAGCTTTTCTCCTTTCCAACAAGGGGACGGCCGAATGACGTTCTCAATGATCTAGAAGATATCAGAGCCGGGTTGGAAAGAATTGGCCCAGCTCGAGTTAATGGTTTCAAACTGATGCACTTCAAGACCAAACGCTCCACAGGACAGCACGAAGAGACTATTATTAAGTATTATCCGTTTAAGGATTGCTTGGCGGACTACCAAAACCGCCCTCTCTACAATCAAAAGTCGTGAAATATGCACCCATCACCGGTGATTCATCAGATGACAGGCTTTTTTTCTGGACTGTATTTTGATGTTCAGGAAAACCTTGGAAAATTCATAATTCATTATCGGCCGAAGACTGTCGCAATACCTCGGAAAAGCTTCAGATGTTGATTTAGGTCCCTCACATTGACCCAATCATACCACCATAAACTCTGGTATTTTCAGCCATGAGTAATTGAGTCAATGATCAAGGTGCTCGGGATTCCTGGAAAAGCCCACAATATGATGCGTCGCTATCATGACGTAAATCTTACTCCAATCTTCATCATGTCCGGAAAATTGGGCGCAGAAAGGAGCGGCATCGCTGAAGAGGCAGTTTAACGGCGATAGGAGGAGCGAGAGGCATATGCCGTTGATTTGTATTATGATTCAACTTATTCAACAAGCAAGACACCCAGAGAATCCTTAATACTCATACAACTGGCTCTGATAGGACCTAGCTTCGCATTTACTGATTTTGGTAAATATTTACAAACCTCATCTTAACCATTACTCTTGTCCTTAACTTCTTATGTTTATTCTGTACTTATATATGTCGATCGTGTTTTCCTTTGTCATCGGGAGTTAGACCGCCGGTTTTGGTAGTAAAACTTTCTAACAATTCTTTTGTACTCGTCGAGATTCTAATGTATGTCGATCGGTTACCAGAATACCGTATTTCTTTGTTGAACAGCTCACAATCTGAGTTTCATTTCTTCGATTGCACCTCCAATACATTTATTGAATATGTTTCGCTTTTTGTGAAAAGTCTATTTTTGTTTAGAGGTAGTATCACAACAATCTTATAACCAACAAACTGCATTTCAAAACTTCAATCTAAATACCACAATGCTTCCTCCAGACACGGAGGTTGGCCAGAGAATATGGAATGATTACAAGGATGGCAATCACTGTGAACATGAAGACCACAACAGTCCCGATTCACTTCCTATTTGTCCATGTTGGTCCAATTGGGTATCCGACCGAGTTGTCAATCTCGAACGGGATCTAGATCGAGTTAGGAGGGAGGTCAACTTCAACCCACCGGCAGAACTGTCGCATTTGCAAGAAGAACTTGAATCATCAAGGGCGAGAACAAGATCAAGAATTGCTCAAGAGACGCAATACCGTGATGAAAGGAATAGACATTTTAATCGACTATTGGATATGCAGCGACAGATACAAGCCTGTGCTGCTGATCTCGAAGCTGCTCGGGCTCCAGTGGGACACAAAGTAACGCTCAATAAAAACGTAACTCTTGAAGAGTTGCTAATCGTGGTGCGGCGAGAATTAATATTTCGGGAAGAGAGAGAGCGAAGTGGTATTCCTCGAGAAGAAGTTGAAGCTATACGTGTAGACCTGTATAAACTTTGGCAACTTGCTGAAGCTGCCGCTCGAGAAATTGGTGTTCATCTCAAGGAAAAGGATCTCCTCACCATTCAGGGATATATTGTAGCATCGGTGCAGATGATCAAAGCATTGCAAATAGAAATCCAGCAGAAAGATGTGAGTAGTGACTATGTCATGTTTTTGCAACAGCGAAACAGAGAGGGGGCGAGAGTAATCAACGAGATGGGAGAACAACTGAGAGGCGTGTGGCAAGGAAATATGCCTGGTGTTGGTGTTGTACCCGGCAATCTCGCTACAGCAGTAGGAGCTGTCAACGTTGCGCCGCCAATAGAATTTAAGTCGTTCAAAGAACTTATATGGGGTATATATCTTGGACTCTTCAATTCTGAGCGAAACCTCACGATAATTATAACGGATCGTCAAATGGAAGTACCAATATGGGAACCTGCACCTATTCGTATAGATTCAGAAAACATAACTTATTCCAACAAATGGGAACTCTGTGCACAACTTGTTCGAAACGAGATTCAAAGATTCTTGGAACGAGTGTGGCAGCTTTACTTACACATTCGCGAGAAGAACGTGCCAGGGAGCCAAGAATATTGGAATGGACCGTATGATGACGACCACGGACGAGCAATTCATGTGCACGAAGCCATGAAAGCTGTTGAAGGGCGAGGACTTATGGCACAAACTGAGCTAACGCTTGTACGCCAATATATCGAACCCGCTACCGATGCGGCATACAAAACTGATTTGGAGGAACGTATTGATCGACGATATCCAATTTACAGGGACCTACAAGCCTCAATTAACAATCTTACCCAGAGAATCACAATGTTTCGACAAGTACCTCCTTCATGGCCCGAACAGCACGAACGCGATAATACCGCCTTCTTACCCAAAAAGAGTTTTGATTTATTAGCTTTGATGCTTTCACGTATAGAAATGGAGTATCTAAGCATCCGACTGATCCAACTTATCCAAACCACGAATAATTACTGGCACTTGATTCCTCGAGATGATCCTGATTTGGCTCGATATATGTCAAATGAGATGAGTCGAGCGCATGGAATACAGGTAGCTTGTGAGGCCGAATTAACACGACCATCTGAAATTGCGCCTCCACCTGCATATCCAGGAAAGACGCTACCCCCGCGCCCTGCTTACCAGCCCTATGGAGATCAGATCATCCCCAAATCAACATACGACAATAACAATCAACAGCAAAACAAGAATGATAAAAAAGGAAAAGGAGGAGCCAGTAAGGAAAAGAAGGATAACGAAACAAAAGTGAGAAGCAATATCAACGCTTTGGAAAAGGCTCTGGACAGCAAAAAGATCAAGTATGGCCAAAAAATGGCGAGAAATGCAAAATCAAATTTCGCCAATTCTCCTAGTGACGCTTCACCGGATGAGAAACTACAATTAGAATTGAACAAATTGCATGAATATAGGAAGAAGTTGGAGGGAGTATGGACTAGCAATGGGGGAGGAAAGGTCGCCAGTGTCAAAGGTTATAAAACATAATATTGTAGTTCATTGATCTGGCATTGCGGTCTGCTGACGAGATATTTATTGTTGTTACAAAGTCCTTGAGTTTGGACCATTAAGAGATATCTAACTGATTATTCGATCGCCATCTGGTCCAGTCTCATCCTTAGCTAAATCATGTTCCTTCAATAATGTCGTAATCTCATCCGCGCCCCAGAGGTGATGGTAAATGGTGCCATCCTTGTTCTTTCCTACCGTCGCAAATTCAACTGTATCGGTGTTAGCAAGAAACTGTCAGTTCCAGTCAAATTCACTTACTCTTCTCACTGCTCAACTTTGTAGAATCCATAGTCTTGCTCAACACCTTGACCGCCATTCCACAAGCCTCCTTCAAATCACAGTCCTCCTTGTAGTCCTGCTTCAACAAACTTTGAGCACTAGCGTTATTTGCACCAACACTTGTAGCCTTCCATCCTCCATAGTTACCACTAGGATTGCTCTGGTATAATTGGAACTCTCTTTGTGGGTCGTAACCGGCATAGATAAATGAAACACCAAAGGGGCGAAGACCACCATGTTGAGTATAACCTTGTTTCAAATCGCATAATCGACGTACAAGTTGTTCGCAAGGAATGTCTTCGTTGTAGGTGAGGAGATATCGTTGAGCAGCTTGACGGGCGTAATTGATGAGGATGTTGGCATCAGCTGTCATACCTGCTACTGCGCAGATCATATTGCTGAAAATATGTCAGAAGATTCTACAATGCGAAAAACAATTTGACATACTCGTTCAAGATGTAAAGCTTCTCAGCTGAAGTATCCTGCTCCAATAACTTGCTAGTAACCTTTCTTTCTGCTGCTAATACGATTCCATCCTTTGCTAATATTCCCAATGCTGTTCCTGCATGAGAGATAGCCTCGAGAGCATATTCGACTTGATAAAGACGTCCTTCTGGGGAAAAGATGGTAGTCTTCGTAAAAGTCAGCTAGGTATCTGGGAGCTGTGAGTTATTTGGAGCTTACTCTTGAATCGTATCTTCTGGACATGATTGCGATTTATCGAGATGGGTTTTTATTTGTTGAAAGGAGGGATATCTAGAGGAAAAGAACGAGAAACAGATACTCCCAATCTTCGATATGGTTGTAGAATAATTGAAGTCAAAATAACCTCTTTTCGTTGACAGAGATGTTATTATATCTCCAAGCTCAACTTGAACCTCATATTGGAGCTCCAGGCACGACCCGAACCACGCGTAGTAGTGCGGAGCTTAGCGCCGAATTCTGTTGGCCTTACAGCCTCGTATCACAGCCTCACACTCATTTTAGCCTCACACTCATTTTAGCCTCACATATCATTTGAATCATAATTTTGTATCGATGTCATTCTTCTTTCCAATGCGCCGAATAGAATTTTGATTTCACAACGACGAAAATTGATGAGATACTAGGTAACAGTATTATCTGGTAACTTACACAATCGCATACGACTTATTTACCAAAGGAATGTTGAAATCAACTCACAAACCAACCCTTCCACCTCCTTTACCACCAGGATGGACTGAGCATAAAGCTCCCACAGGTAAGAACTTATTTTCCCCAGGCGTATCATAGCTAATGTGCAAAGGGCATTCTTACTACTACAATTCTGAAACAAAACAATCTACCTATACGCGACCGGCACCAATAGTGATACCACAACAACCTGTTCCAGATCCGATTCAAAGCTTTCTTCAATATCAGTCTGTTGGGAATTCAATACCAAGTGCTGGACCGGATTCCAACAGTCTTCCTTCTCGACATCATGGACAGACTTATGGTGGTAGAGGTGGCTCACAGGGTCACCGAGGAGGTAGAGGTGGTCATGAACGTTCACGTGAGAATCGACCACAGCCAAATGACAAGGCAAAGTCGCGTTTTCCCATTCCAGGATGCGAACCTTGGATCCTTGTACATACCAAATATGGAAGAAGATTTGTCTACAATACTGAGAAGGATCAAAGTTTTTGGCGGATACCAGATAAGCTCAAGGATGGTATCTTGAAACTGGATCAGTTGAGAATACAACAAAAGGCAGATTCACTTTCGAAGGACCAGAATACCGAAGAAATTTTCAAAGTCTCTGGGCCTGCAGAAAGGCCGGCGACCAGCGATACGGCTGCTGAGGTTTCGCATCATGATGGAGAAGACAGCTCTGAATATGAAGAAGTGGAAGTCACAGATGATGAAGGAGAAAATGATGAGGACTCGGAAAATCCTTCGAAACGTCAACGAACCGAGGAACTCAATCCTGACGAACCTGTTGAGTTCAATGAAGACGATATCGCATACCAGCTCGCAGCCATGGGGCAAGAATACGGATTAGATCCCGGAGAATATGATGATGGCAATATGGATGACTGGGAACCGGGCGCAGAGGGATTGGAATTGTCATTGGAAGATTCGGCAGCTCTTTTCAAAGATTTGCTCAATGACTTTGGTATAAATCCATACTGGCCATGGGAGAAATTGATTGAGGATGGGAAAATTGTGGAGGATACCCGTTACACAGCTCTTACGAATATGAAATCGCGGCGGGAAGTATGGGACGAATGGTCAAAGGAAAAGATTGCACAACTTCGAGAACTACGAGCCAAAGAAGAGAGGAAGGATCCCAAGATTCCATACATGGCGTTCTTGCAAAAACACGCAACTCCCAAATTATATTGGCCAGAGTTCAAACGGAAATACAAAAAGGAAGCGGAAATGAGAGATCCATCATTGTTAGATAAAGACCGGGAAAAGTTTTACAGAGAACACATCAATCGATTGAAACTTCCACAATCGAATCTGAAATCTGACCTTTCCACACTCCTGAAGTCTCAATCTCCATCTGCCTTGAACAACGCGACTCTTATCTCTCATTTGCCGGCGACGATCCTTGGGGACATACGATACATTTCACTGGATGCAGCCGTAAGAGATCCTCTGATCGAAGCTTTTATCACCACTTTACCGCCACCACCTGAAATCGCTTTTGTAGAAGAGAGTGAGGAAACCACCAGGCAAAACTTAGAAAAGGAAAGAAGACAGAAGGCATTAGAGGAAAGAGAAAGAAGAGTAGCGGAAGAGAAATGGAAACAGCAAAGAGCTTTGGAGTTTGGAAAGGGTAGGTTAAGAGATGAAGAGGCGGAGATACAACGTGCTATGAATGTCTCTAAAAGAGGCCTCTTGGGACACTTGAATGGATGGGATGTAGAGAAGTAAAGTCAGAGATATTGTTGTTTCAGACATCAACTTCGAAATTCCAAAATCCCCCGGTATTGGTGGTTCTGGTCTAAATGATCATATATCGACATCTTCTAAATGCCCATCCGATCCTTGATACATTGCTTCTCTTTCGGCTACATGTACACATCTTAAGTCCACGATACGTTTTACAGTTAAAGCTGCATATTATAGCTTGCCGTATCCCCAATTCTTCGTTCCCGGTTATCAAGTCAAGAACCATGACTTCTTTGGCAAGAGCCATAAATGCGATTTGATGACTTTCGTTTCCGGGGACGAAAGGCATTGCTGATTCCTGATTCCTGATTCCTGATCTTTGACTTGATGAGATAGTTTCTTCGCTATTCAGAGAACGTCTGTTGATGTTCACCCCTATTTGATGTTCCGCTTTCTCAAAATCAATCATTCGCATCTCTTGTGATCAAACTTCTTTTCTCTCCTCATCAAACACCACACTATCACATTACGATTATTACAACATCACACATAATCTTACAACATTATCACTAGCTAGTGTTACATTTACTGCATCAATAAATCATCATTGTGAGCCATTTTATCAGTTGGTATAACTACATCATTCCAATTCACATCACTGTTTTAACACACGTCGTCTGTTTGCTGCTTTGATAGCACCCTTTGATTTTGGCTCTGCCCGTGCATTGTGTCCATACAAGTCTTACTTACCTGGACATTACCCCCGTGGTCAGGTTATCAACGCGGCTTACAACAACTACTATGTCGGAGGAAAGACATAATCAAATTGCCCATCGGTTGTTAATGCTTATTATCCACCTGGAAAGGATATAATCAAAAGCTCTTTTGGCATGTAAACCGAGAGTGCTAATTGTCCAATAGGTGAAGATTGTTCTACCAAGTCTGTTGGAGGTTAGCAGTATACTTAACCACCCTAGCTGTATTTTCTATCTCATGTGGCGAGGTGATATGAATCTGGTATCGCTGGGCTTCTTGAATGTGTTCCGCCGAATTTAGAAGAAAGTGATAGAGTTTCGTGCATTCCTAGAAGTGAAGCAATTGCTACAGCGATAATTTTAAGTCTGAATCATAATCAGCGAACAAGGACTCCGTATTACAGAAATGTTTCTACACTTTGAATATCCATAGTTGCATATTATACGTCGGTTTCGCTGCTTAGTACTTGATTTTTGCTTGTCCTTTCCAAGGACATACTGAGGTTTGCTCCATGCGACCTCGGAAGGTACAGCCAATAGCTTTCTATTCAAGCCAAACCTCGCATCTGGGGGCCAGGCCAATTCCCGTGCCATTTGCTGACAACTTTCTACGGATCATGCATCTAGATTCTAGATTGAGGCTGAGGCTGAGCATTGTATTCCCACCTTCAATCATTTCTTTTTGGAGTCATCCTTTCTTTTTGTGATATCTTGTTCGGCTCTTCCTCTACTAATACTTTTGGATGCCGTGGAGCGATGAGATGAGACTGAGTGAAAGTGAGTGTTGATGGGCTTTTGTGGTATGTCTCGTATCTTTGGGAGTATGATAGCGAAGGAACAGATTGCCGCAACAAGGCTGGCAGGTTTTGACGGCTGCTAATCTTGAAAAAGTCTCAAGACAAGTCCTCGAACAAAAGATTCGTCCTTCGGGTATATATACGATTGTTCATACTTCAGCAACGAAATTGCGCGACTAGAGTCTACCTGCTAATCAGCCTTCTGGTTTAACCAGTCACGATGATGAAAAATGACAAGAGGGAATTTGAAGATCTCATGCCTTTTCCTGCTGATGGGAATGTGTACGTGCATGTAAACAACGACGATGAGGACTCTCATGGTACGTTTACTTGCTATGTGTCACCTTGGATATTCCGTGGATGATCATTCATTGACAAGTTTAGAGAGCATGAAGCCTCCTGACGCATGTCGGCGCAGTCTCGCGAAGGTCAAAACTGGATGCAACAATTGCAAGTATGCTATTCAAAGTCAAAACCTTGGGAATATCATGAATAACGTATGATAATAGAGCCAGACGAGTCAAATGCGATGAAACAAAGCCAGCTTGCATGAAATGTCAAAGGTCTGGACGTGTCTGCGATAGATATCCAGCTTTGGACGAGCGATGGAAGCCGGAAAACCATATGATAGCCGTCTCAGCATCCGGCATGTCTGCAAACAACGAGGTAGCTCTACATATTATCTTTCCTTCTTTGATATGCAAATTGATGTCCTCTAGCGTCACGATACCAGTACACCTCCTCTGGCAAATGAAAGAGACTATAGATTGGAAGACACAGTCCCTAGGTTGTCATCCATCAAGGAACAACTACCTGAGGATGATTCGGGGAGAGTGTCACAAATGCTCAGTCGTATGTACCTCCTACCTGATGTTTTCCCTCCATCACAAGAACCATTTTATAGCCGCCTTCCAGTTTCATCAGACTCGTTGTCTGGAACGTTTGAGCAATCTCAACCTGAGTCTCTTTTTCAATTTTGTGACTCCACAGGGCCTACAAGTAATAAAACACATTCCCATACATTTCCACGCCAGGGCTCCGCTCCCGAAGGATTTCAGCCTCAAACGTGTAGTCATCCCGGATGTAGCAAAAGATCCAACGATTTTTTTTCAACTCACAAGACATGAAAAGTTACATCTGTGCGCTGGAATTTTTGGAGAGGAAGAGTAAGATTGCATCATAACTTTAAAGATTCCAAACTAATGCTCTATGTAGTTACTCTACACAATTCACAGTCGAACCTGCACCCGATGAATCTTCAAGACCCAGAAACTTAGGATACACGATCTTAAACAAAGCGACTGCTGATCCCCTTGCATCGGTCGACCATGGCGTCCTCTCGGCCCAGGTACTGCAAGATTTGATCTCTTCTGAGAACAATGGGAGTAAATTAGAGACCAGTGATTCAGCCATTTCTCACTCAACCACAGCCAGGCACCCGAAATGTTCATATTGTGATTATGAGCCAAGCAGACCCGATCAGTGGAAGATGGTCAACCTGACACGCCATACCAGAGAAACACATACTACATATCCTGACAGACTGCATTGTCGGATAAATTACTGCAGAGCCACATTTAGCAGATCAGGCAATCTCAAAGCTCACCAACAACATTCCCATGGTATCTACCACGATGTGACAAGACGCAGGCGGAGAATTATGGAAAAAGGCGGGATCAAAAGCTCAAAAAAGGATAACAATATTGTGAAAGAAGCAGTGAATATCGTCGCAGTTGATGTCGTAGATTCTAAAAACGAAGAACTTCAAGCCATTCAGGCTCGATCGCTGGAATCTTTCGAAAGTGACAAACAGTATACAGAGAATCATCGTGGTGAAGAAATTTTCCCCCACAAAGATCATCCGTTACATCAGTTGGGGCACCGTTATTGCCAGGAGGCTGAGATCCTCTCTGCTTCTACTTGGCCCCACGATGATCAGATAATTACCGAACAGTTGGGCAGACCAGGCTGCTCTGTCTCCGCAACTGACTTAGAAGTGCCATCGAACTACGAAGCAAACTTCAACGATATGGATTCATCGGTAGCGAATATCAATCAAAATGATGTATTTAATTGGGATCTAAAATTACTCGCTTCTGTGCAGACGTGCCGAGATAGTGGATTGGGCTCAAGTCTACCCTCCCAAGATCTGACTCAATCACTCAAGACCTTCCCCAGGCAGCGAAAGAAGAGATTTTAACTATTATCTGCACCGATTCTGAACTTCAGTTGAGTCTGTCGAACATTGCTTCCAAGATTCCCAAACCACGATTCGTTCGGAACATTCGACGATTGCTTCAGCTTTTTATTCTTGATCTCCGAGAGACTGTTACTGATACTCGAGAAAAGGATGCCGTTAATATCCTCGAACAGCATGCACCATGGTTTGCAGCCAGGCTTTTTGATTTTTCAAATCCTAATAGAGACGCGGACTCACGTGCCATGGCTTCATATCTAGACCAGCAAATCGATACAAAGTTGCTTCTTGAGCAGTACTTGGCATCGAGTCTGGGAACTAAGCTTCTTGACGCTCAAATAAGAGACGAAGCGGAGAAAATAGATACTGCTGCAATGGAAGTACACGATTTGATCGATATTGATTACTCGAACTTTCCAAATGTAAAACGCATCAAAAAGTTCATCAGCGGGGGCTCGGCTTTTGAAGCCCTGCGCCTCAACACCTCTCAATTTGCAAGAAATGAGCTTCCAGGCCCTTCGTTGGGGAATACAAGCGTCCATATTGAGCCAAAAAGCCCTTCACACCTCGAAACCAACCACTTCAGTAATATTCAACGATTTAGATGGATCTTGGCAAAGCAAGCGAGAATTGTATTCGTTCTTCAGAGGTTTCTCAAACTCATGAAAGCTCAGTCTATTTTGCATTCATATTTTGCTGTAGATCAAGCAAAGCCCAATATCTTCGAAATCGTATCAAATTCCTCCGAGAACAATTCGTCGGATGAAAAATCATCAATCACTACTTCTGGTGATATCGAGTCTGACACAAACGACACAGACTACGATTCCGGCGACCTTCCGGATGATGCAGAACTTTCTGCTTCAGCAGAAGAACAAATAGCAAACCCAAAGGCCTACTTTGACAAATTAAAAACCTTGGAACAGCAAATTTTCAATAATTCAGGACTTTTTATCCATAAAACTGGCGATTCTACTGGACCAGCCCAGAATGAAGCTTTACTTTGCCTCACAGCATCAGAGTACCACAAAACCCAGACTGATTATTATCTGGATATCATTAAACACTCAGACTCCGAGCTTCTTTTAGACCTTCTTGTATGTCATAACAGGGCCTATAGGGCTGGCAATAATCTTACCGCACTTCAAGAGAATGGTTATTGTGCAAAATATATCTCCTTGTTACAGTAACCGTGTACAGCTGTTCGTCGGTTTCAAAAATCACACCAAAAACAGGCATTTTGCCCTATTCATAATTATAAAAAAGAAATATTTAAAATCATTAAATTTGATTAAAATTTTAAATTTGATTTTATTATATAATAAAGAATTTGTTATTCAAATTTCTATTATTTTAAAATAAATATATATTAATATTTATAAGATTGAATTAATATCAAAAGAAAAGTTCTTGATTTTCGCTTATTTTACTAATAAATTTCAATATTTTCAATTTCTATTAACTTTCTATATATATTTTATAATGAACAAAAATCTTAAAAATAAATGATATTTTTTTTCTTAAATTTCAAATGAAACTAAATAAGCTAATATGAAGTTTATTAGTATATATATTATATTCATTCAATAAAATATAAATGATTTATATGAGTTTTGGTGTAATTTTGGTGTTCGGCAAACAGCTGTGCCCTAGTACTGTAGTACAAGATCAGCAGAGGGCAGGGGTTGTAAGAATAGTTCAGATGGAGATACAAAATATATTAGATTTAATAAAAGTTTTCGAAAAGTTCGTGGGTATATTACTGGCCAATTTCACTTCGAGATGATTTTACAACATTTCCGCCGCGGAAGAGCTCGATCGACTAATAGAAGAATCCGACGATTCGTTAATTCTAACCCAGAAATGCCTCGAGATCTTGAATATAACGTCAATCTCAACATTGTCCGATATGGCTAGTCGGCTATCACATGGCTTTGTTTGGCAACTTACAACTCAGGTCATCGAACTAGCAATTTTATCATATGCTGGCGCTCACATTCAACCCTTTGATACAGAGCTGGTGGAGAAGGATTTGCCATCAGTTCATCTTCCACAGCGGTTCAAGTATCATGATGATGCTCTAAATTGGCTTGGAGGTCTTTCTTGTATCTCAAACTTGGGTGGATGGGGTGTCAAAATATGCCGCCGACAGTTACAATGTATGGACAGGTTTTTAGGAGAAAAGCAGCCATGGGTTTTCCATCCCTTCAACTATGGTTCTCCTGATCACAAGATATGTTTGTTTCTATCATCAAGCATCGAGGCTCTGACAGATCTTTGGGGTCCGTCTTGGAAAATTTTGAAAAGCTCCTTGACAATTGAGATCAAGCAATATGATATCGGGAATGGTGCTATAATTCCATGGACAACTCGAGCCGGCGTGAATGACACCCATGTGATCCCTATGAACTCAGAGGTCTTTTGCCACTGGATACCATTCAAGAGTTGGAACGAAAAAGAAGTTGAAGCAAACCAGGAATCTTTACCTAGACAACACCTTTTGTCTTCCGACATCTTATTGATTGGTGCACCTAACAATTATGGCCTTCTCGTCAATGAAAAGTGTATTCCATCTCCCGAACGCGTCTTGCGTATTAAAAGCCAATCATCGGATCAACAAGCTCTTCGCTCACCTAATACTTCTCGTGCTAGGCGATATGTCGATTCACATGCGATACAGAGACAGGGCAGTGCCATGGGACTTATATCTGGAGCAGGTCAAGTAACTTATAAATGGAGAATTGGGCACACAATGAAGGATGCCTTAGTGGAGCGATGGCGACATGGTTTACGGAATCCTCTTGATCTTGAAGCTTACTCTGGGGTTGAGGTATCTCTCTGTTCTCGCAATGCTCGTCGTCGACGATTGCTAAGCATTCTCGCATCCGATACTATGGTCAATTATCTTCATGCGATTTCTTTTGTATGGAATGATGGAGTTTGCGAGTATTCATACTTCAATGCATTACGCTGCCCAAAGTCATTTCGCAAATTTTGGAAGGCACATAAAGATTGGCAGACAAATATTGGTGATGCAGTTTCCAAGTGTTTGGATGCACTAGAAGAGACAGGTATTGATGAGGATAATCAGGAATCAAGTGCTTTTTAGGTTGAATCTTTTGATGCAGAGGGGGATTCAGATAGGGAGGATGATGACGATTCTATTGGACAGCCCGACTCGATCAAAAACAATTCTACTGGCGGCGGAATTCAATCACCAGTACAAGATGATATTGCCACCGGACTTCCAACTCCACCAAATAGTTTAGCTTCAGTGGATTTGGACACTTGCAAATTTTTCGAGGAATGGGTCGTTACATTATTTCGATCGGAACATACATGGACAGAATTTATAGAGGACTCTGAAGAATCATTAACTATGGTAGTTGTTGCGAAGGAATGTCTTGATTTTCACGACCAAGATGGATTCGGACGCTGTTGTTCCCTTGCAGCGAAAATCAAAGGATATCCTGTTCTACAAACCTCGCTACAAATTAATGAATCACTACTTTCCAGCTGCTCTGCAAAGCTCAAGCAAGAAAAGGTCGGCAGTAGTAAGAAAAATATCTAGAATGCACACGAATTAAAGAGGGGAACTAAATTCTGTTTGGGTAATCATGGAACATTCGAAGTTATCTCTGGGTCTTCCGATTTATGCCCAACGGTAGTAGAGTGGAAAGGAGTAAAAGGAGGAAAATGTGTCGGGGGGATATTGAAAGAGGTGAAAAATGTAGGTGTCAACGAGAACTTGCTTGGAAAGAGCGTTGAGAAACATCATAAAGAGTTTATGAAGGGATGTTGGCAAGTCAAGCCACTGCCCGTTTTGGTTCTGAGTAAGAGTACAAAGGTTAGATTTGGGAAAGATCAGGTGAAGGATGGAAAGGGAAAGTCAGATCACCATACAGATGCTTCATATTTCTTTCTATCTCTCATAGAAATATTCAGGTCTCATTTTCGTTCCCTCTTGCTTTCCTTTTGCTCCCTTTTCCGAATGCAATGCTCCATTGTTGAAGTAAATAACTCATTTTTTATCAGACGGACTCGTCGCAACAGCAGCAACAGATGTACCTTGAAGATCAGAAAGGGACTCATTATTTTATCTTGGGTATCAGAACTCATTTGAAGCGTTTGTGTACCTGTGTAGCCTAATATTGTTGACATATGCTGATTTTCTAAATTATTTACCAGCACATTTAATTTGTGATTTGCATTCCATATGTCACATGAGATTTATGAGATTTATGAGTCGAACTCAGCACTTTCAAAAATCTATTACATCTGATGTTTCACCCAAATCATGTTCGTGAATTCACTATTCCGGAGAGTCAGAGGATCCCATCCACACAAAAGAAAGTGTGAATAATTATTAATATTTCTGTGATCATTCACGCAAGTTCAGGCTTTACCTGATCATCAGCTATTATTCTGATAAGCTCTTAACTTTTTAAGATCTTTGATAGGTTGGCACAAAGATGTTTTTTGTCAAAAAGAAATTTGTACCTTCTTAGATTCAAACTTACTACATAGAATGACTCTTCATTTTACCAGTCTTTCTCACATCGTGGTCGCCCGTCACCTATAATAGCTCCTCGAACATTCCCAATTGAAAGTACCTTTCAAGCAAATTCAGGAGAGGAGATTGAAGGTACTCTAGGATCTTGAGATCTCAGAGAGCATGTTATCAAATTTCAATTGGACTATTAGAAATTTCTCGAAAAGATATATATCAACTGCAAAATCATTTGCGCCTACCTTACTGCACAAAAAATTCAATATATTACACCGGCTCAAATATGCCACTGTTTCATGGTATCTATTCTTCATCAGCTCCACAAGATATTGAAATCACCATTTGCAACTCGTCGACGGAGAATCGCGCGACCAAGTATAAGATCTCTCAAACATCACCATGGCATCATCCCTCACTCCCAGAAATTCGACCATTTTCTCTTGATCTTCAGATCCTGATCGACGATAAGCAAAATCTTCGGTACCATATCCTGCTACCTCCACCAAACAAGGAACCATTCAATACTTCTCATTTGCCAACTGTGTCCAGTATCATGCCCATCCGTCGTTGCTCTGGGAAGGCTGTTATTGAAAAAGTTCACAATGCTTTTGGGATTCAAAAATTAAGGGATTATACAAGTGGATTAAGCTATACAATTCTCACAGCTCGTTTTGCAACTCATGTTCTCAACAGAGTTACCGCTCCTTCCATAGCTACCTCTCCAAAGTCAACGAAGACAACGCCATACATCATAAGACCAGCCATTGAACTACCTCGAATATTAGCAAGTGGCGATATGTACCCCCTCGAATACGGATCGCACTCTCTCCATGTCACAATCCACGATATGCAATTCAAAAAAGTTTGCAGTGAAATCTATGGCTGGTATATGTACAGTTGGCCTTGGCTTCTGAGTGGTGGTGCGCAGAAATCTGTACGCATGAAAGCACAAAAGGATTGTCAACTACTAGCTCAACAATGCCGGTGGAGAAATGGAGGATGGTTACTTGATCAACATATTCAACAATTCTATTGCCCTAATAGATTATCTTTCGCAGCATGTTCAGATGATTGGGATATAACAGCTTATCAATTCAGTGATAAGCCAATCATTTCTGCGGATCCAAATGATTACATTGATGGGACGTGGATCACAGATGGTCTTTATAAACGAGCCCGTATTGCGCTTCGCCGTAAATATTTGATGGAATTCCCCTGGTTCGAACTTTCAAGCTTAAAGCGCAAAGTGGAATATGATATTGGATTTTTACATATGGCATGGCAATTGGTGGGATACCCATATATGCAAAGTAACAACGAGGAGAACATTCACGTCGAAACATTGCAAGATAAGGATATAATACAATTTCATAATGCGGATGTATATGACTTGGTGAGGTATTGGCCGGAGGAGGATGATGCTGTAGGAAAGCAAGGAAGATTGCAGAGGAGGATGGAAGAACAACGTCCACATATCAATGTGGCTATTGATGCTATGCCTCCAAGTTGGAGAAAGTTGATGAGCCTTGATGAATAGAGCTTTATAATCATTGTTCATGAGAAGATTCATAAAGAATGAAGTTTCGGTATCAAACTTTATAGTCGATTTGAATTACATGAAGTATCAGGCGATGACACATCGAATAAAGATACATTGCGAGTTTGGAACAATGGGAGTTTAAATTAGAGGAAGTAATTTGGGTAAAGCAGTGGAAAGTAGAACTCTTGATACTGTTTCTGAATGGTTCATGACTGTCATGACTACATAGAAGAGAACAGCATTGACGGCTTGGAGACTTCCCCACCAATAACTAATAGAGCTAGAGAGCCATAGAGCAATAGATATATAAGAATTGATCGAAGGCCTTTTATTTCTTCGAGTGATCCTCCAACTCAGTCCCTTTCTCTTCCGGTTCTATAACCTTGATTACTGGGCCTTCAATCTTTTTAACCTTCCTCCCCTCCCACCACATCATAATTCCTGCGAACAAGCTAACGGCGCACCCACAGGCAATAAATAAACCAGTCGCCCACGAAGGTCTATTGATTCTATTATATCCCCACATGAATCCAGCCAATACTCCTTGAAACAAAGTATTCAAAACCATCATCCAAACCACAAAGCTAAGTTTCCATAATTTAGTTGGAGGTGCAACTTCCCCAGTGAAAGTGGCTGGAATAGAAATACCATTCTCTTCATCTTCATTCCTTAGCGAATCTGTATACCAAGCCTCAGGTCTAAACCAACTTTCATTTTGCTTTGCCAACCTCTTCATTGCTTTCTTATTCTTTCCAAATCTCACCTGCAACAGATTCCATAGATCTCTAAATCTCCACGGCGCCAAGCCAAATCCAGTAACGCAAAATAAAGCATTTAAGATCTGTGAATCAATTTCCAACCATTTCTTTCTAGGTGAATCATTGGAATCTTTATTTGGATGATCCATTGCTGGGGCGGCATCTAGCAGTAAAAAGAAAAGCATAGCTCCCCATGCCACAATATTCAATCCATATATCGTCATCAGGAAACCAGTAGGCGTTGTTGCGAATTTCCAAAATGCAGCAAAACCATGCTTAATTGCAGGTCCCCACCCATGTCTTTCTTCTTCGATGACTGTTGTTCGAGTCTTTAATGAAGGTTTCGCGAATTTAGGTTCAGTTTCGAGTATTGCATTATTGAAATTCCCATGGCCCGCTGGTACAGAATTTAAAACTCTCGCATTACTCAATCGACGGGTTTGTGCATGTGATAAAGCTTTGGCAAGGACTGGTTCACCATTCAAGTCTGTCGTGACGGTACGCTTAGAGTGACCATGTTCATTGAATTCGATATTTGCGCCTCCGGAAATGGGCTCTCGGAGTTCTTCCAACGTTGGAGCATAGGCGATGGCGGTACCGGTTGCTGCCCACATCCCCAATTGAGGATTAAAATTTAGAGCTGCATCTGCTAATGAGGTGGAGGTTCTACGAATGCGTCCAGGAATGCTCGATCGTCGCTCGTTTATATTCATGGTGGCGGTTGTGAGTGAGAAACAATTGATGAGAAACTCGTCCGAACTCAAGTTTCGACTACTCGAAATTTATCGAAATTTATCGAAATCTATGATGATCTAATGATGCATTATCGACGTTTCATTGTATCGATATTATAAGAGCCTCGAGGAAATTGAAAGATGGCTGGAATATAACACTTTGCCATCTTCTCATTCTGGAATTTAAGTTCTCTAGCTTCGAATTGGCTGTGCTACGATCACAGTTTTTTTTAGGAATAAATGTGGAAGGGGCGAATATAGTGGGTCAATACACAATCTACTGTGTAGATCCATGGCGTTAATAATTATACACCCCTTCCACACCCACAAGAACGATTCCTTCAGCGTTCTGCATGTTAATTAGTCTTCAATCATTGTATATGTGCAAGCACCAATCCTATTAGGGTAAATATGCCGTCTATACAACAACTTAAATAATGGGGAAATGTCGGTAGTGAAAATGAATACGCGGAAAATGATAGGTAGATCCATGACAACCCGCTTATTATACCACTTGGCCCCTCTCAGCCCCCCGGCCTCACGCGAGTCGCGCCCCTGGCCTGGACCTGTGATGCTTTAGTGGATCAACGCTCAAGTACCATCTTGAACCCCGCGTTCATCTGTGAAAATAACATCTCACCCTAATCATTTCAGGTTCCATTGTTCTTTTATACGTATACGGAGTACCCAATCGGTTTATTCCAATACATCGGAATAGGTCGATCAATCATATACCGTAAACTCAGTAAATTCGGGATCTACCTAGCCGTATTGAGCCTAGCATTTCGCCCATCTTCCTAATCGGACCTTTTAAAAATAAAATATATAAATCTATAAGTTAATAGACTTTCAATCATCACTATTTCAATAATTTTTAACCTTAAATTCAAGCTCAATAATTTTGATATTTGATATAATTCATGAAGTTATTGATATTTCTTCACACACGGACCACATTTCCCGGCTGTAACCCGTAGTCTAGGGGATAAGTATGCATGTAGTCTTTTAGCAGCGATATACTCTACGCATTATAGACACACCCCTTGCGCTGTGGATATGAAGCAATTTCATTCATCATCACATCTTTAACATGTATTTTCTTGTCATAAATCAATATATACATATTCAGCCGAGAAAGCCACAATCGTGTAGTTGACTGGTGTTTTCGCTGATGAAATATGCAAGATCAACCGTTTATCTTTGATGTGCAGTCAAACACAAAATGAGCCCAATCTGCTTGATTTTTCCAAGCCGATAATTTTTTACTTGTTTCTTTTGTAGCTTTCTCGTCAGCTTTTCCTTTTTTTGACCCCATCCGCATCTTTGTAATTCAACAACTGCCACTGAAACGTCTGGATCTGACTCCTTAGCTTCTGTTTCTTTCGTTTGTGAGATGTACTTCTTCCTAGCGATGTGCACTTCCATTCTCTAGTTTTCATCAACCTCTTGAACACTCCTCGCATCACCCTGTTGGATCCTTCACTGTGTCCTCTTAATTTGAGGTTATAGAGATGATGCGCACTTGGAAGTTCGTATCTGAGGAACCTGTCTGAAGGAGGATTGTAGCCGAGTGATTGGATAGATAGATAATTAGTCAGAGAAGGGGGTCCAGCTGAGCGCAGAGGTCAGTAGTATACCAGCAAAAGAAGGCAAACTAGGCGCATACCGGTTCAAAGTGTTCATCAACACTGAGAGTCCAAGCCTCAAATCCTACAAGACTGTGCGCACACCCAGCAAATATGCGAGATGTGAACCCATAGTTGCCGGTCAAATTCTCGAATGTAACGAACCTGATAGCACAAGTTACAGGGGGTAGCGCCTCGCCATAGGGTGGACCATTTGTAACTCCTTCAATATAGAAAGTTAGCTTTAATAGATTTTCTTAATGAATTGGCACTAAGACTATGGAAATTGGACCAAGAGGCCACTAATCTTAACAAAGTTCATTGGCCAAAGTCAGTGCGTGGTGATTTGTTTCTGCCACGTCTCAAACTGGTGGGAAGTGTTGTTCATTGCACGGTGGACAAATATTTCAATATCCAAAGAGCATAAAGTGGTCATAAGCTACTCACCAAAGCAGTTATTGGGGCTATCGAGGTAGCATGACTGGAGTCGAGCGTTACTTTCAAGTAAAAATCATGGATGTAACAACACTTACAAACTTCAATGTGATATCGCAAACTTTTGGGGTTCTAGGTAACGAACAAGCCAGTAATGATTCCTTTTTTCATTCTGATGGAAAGAGATGTAGACTTCCTTACAGTTGCAAAAGTTCGGCGACCTTATCTCCTCGTGGGCTTTTCTCTCTCAGATCAACAGTATCGAAGAAAACAATCTAGCGACATGTAAGTCAAGTAAGTTTGGCTGCCTTTCAAATGACAATGTGCCAATTCACCAATGAATTTGTTTCTTCTTGCGCCTCTGTGCCAGCATCTTCAAGATCATTGATCAATTTATTGATTTCGTCCATGCCAGTGACCTTCTTGTGAGTAGAGGGAGGGGGCTTGTAGAGAGGATTCATCAGCATCCGATTCATCCATAATGTCAGATGCAAATTCAGATACTTCCATACGATCGGAGTCATCCTTGTCTTCAAACTCATCCAAGTCAGATTCAGCCATGATATCGAATCCAGCAATGTTGTTATACTTAGCCCGAATGCCCATAACGTCCATGTTATCGGAGTCATATTCATTCATGTCATCCAATCCATCCATGAGATCGAAATCAGCCAAATCACCAAATCCATCCATTATGTTGAGCTAATCCACTATGTTTTCGCTTTTGCTCTCTGCGTTGATGGACAAAATCGATTTCCTGAAAAACAAGTGAGGAGTAAAGATTTCCCGCTTGCAAAAGCTTTTTAAAATTGCGATTTTTTCACCACACAAATAAATGCTGTTATTCACTATACCTCATGTGAAGACAACAAAAACGAACTCTGATTGAAGAGCGGGTGATTTCCCGCAAAAGAACGTTGGTATCGGCCAATCAATGCTCTTTTGTTCCTAGATCTACCAGATAGTGCAAAGCGTCCAGTAAGCAGCCATGGCCAGACATATTGTACCTCCCAACAAACTTATTGGTTCGCGCAAGGCCTGGGAAAAGAGCAATAATCAGGAGTATTACGGTTCACACCACTTGCTGTTCGACTCCTATCACAACTTTTCCGAGTGTTTTGTTGATAAGTCCCACGAGGACTTCCAATTGTCTGTTGAACGGTTGAAGCCTTTTTATTCAAGCTACGCAATCGCAAAACCACATGATACTACAAACCTTTTCAATGTCGAGTATAACTGGGATAAGTCTATGTTGACATCACCGATGGGGATGGAACATCGTTTATTAACATGTTGAACCTCTACCGCTCTCGCTCTCACCCTCATACATTTACCACTCTTTTGTTGCAGCAAATTTCCATCTTGTGCTGAATCCACCTCACTCTTTTTGACCCAGCCTCCACAATCTATGTTAGCATGAGTGATAGAATTAAGTACTCACGTAATGCAGAGTTTTGAAGACAGTTGATAGATAGTGAATTGGGTAAGGGTAGAGAAACCTTGCGATTCACGAACATGTTTGGAACGGGGCAATGGACAGACATGTGAGGCAATGGAAGGAGTTAAAGATTTGTTCACCTATGACATTGCTTTATCAATTGGGAGTGGCGAATCTCGGAATTGTGGGCGATTCGAGATTTTTCAAATATTGTTCGGAATCCTAACATAAAGTTGATGAGAGAGCTTAGCTGTATGGAATGAAGACAATGATATAGATGAGTACGAAGCATAGGCCCAAGAACAGGAGCAAGATGATGAGAATAATCTCGAGAACTTCAGCGACGCAACTGAAGAATTTCTCAGTGGGATTCGGGGAACGATGAGGCTTCGAGAGCTCAGGCAAGGAATGACTCAAACCACAAATTCCGAATGATTCCTCATCGATGGCTCAAACTGTAGAACCTAGTCGATTAGGAGGGCAATGGTCTGGTGGTGTTGCATCAACAATTACATGATCAAAACGACCAAGCAAATAATGTGGATCGATTGGATAATTATGCTGGAGATGACGGATGTGAAGCTGATGGTTTAGATAATTTGATGGAGAATGATCTCTTCGAAGACTTGTCAACCGTGTCAGAAGCAGTCCTGGATCCAGACGACTTGAACTATCGTTTAAAGATTATTTTTGATGTTGAATTTGTAAAAGGCAAAGATTATCGGATGTGAATCCCCCCAATAACAGATGGCAGGCTCGAACCACATCGAATCCCCATTGGAGGAGTAGGGCTAACCCTCGTGGGATTTCTCCAATAATAATTGTAGTTAATCCATACACAGCCACTAGAGAATAAGACTTCTCAATTTGACTACGTTAGAGTTATAGATAAAAGGAAATAGGATAATGAAAGAGTGAAAGCATTTCGTGAACCCGTGCACCTACATTTGTATTAGCACCTCTTTGATCTGGTTAGATTACTTCATTTGAAATGACGACTAGTTTGTTCATCGCATAGCATCAAAGCAATCAAGTCTGTAATTTCGTTTCAAAATCGGTAAAAGTTCATTTCGCTTGCTGTTGTGGTATCCAAGACGATGACCAAACTTCGCTGCTCAAAGTCTTTCCCAAGACGAGCCATTGTGTAACGCCTGACTTTGGTTTTCTTCCCAATCCAAAATTAACCGCCCTTGACCACTATATGCTTTCCATCAATCCAAATTACGCTGTGATCTAAACTTCGAGTTTCTCCTCTTGTTCAATAGGGGTAGCCATCTCATCAGCCCAATCGCCAGCTCCGATCAATGGAGAAATGACACCTGATGTTGTATTTTTGGATGCTGAGGTTGTTGGTAATGAGGGGAAATCTTCTGGCGCGGGTACAGTTTGTACTTGCTGTGCTGAACCACCTCTTCCACCTCTACCGTTACCCCTTCCTCTTCCTCTTCCACGTCCATTTCCTCGACCTCTATTCTCATCATAAATGTACGAAGACATATCATCTTCTGGGGTATCATTAAACCTGCTACTAGCTAAACCACTTCTCCCTCCCATGACTCCACCATGACCACCCCTAACATATTGTGAACTTCTTCCATTATTATCCTCGAACTCTTTTTCATCCTTGCCCTCATCCCATTCCCTACCACCCATAGCCTTTAACTTTCTCTCTCTATTCTTCATTCGCTCGCCTTCCATTACTCTACCCCTCTCAATTTCCTCTTTCCTCTTGCGCTTCTCTTCTTTCTCCTTTGCAGCATAACCTTCCCTATCTTTCTCACTCTTTCGAAAAGATTCTGCCTTTTCTGCATTTATTATCTTCATTCGCTCGAGCTTCGCTGTCAATTCTGCTTCGGTCAACTTCTTGTGCGATGGACCTCCAGTTAAAGAACGATCGCCACGAACGGATGGTATGGGCTTTTGTTGAGTTTGTGGTTGCGCTTCAGCAGGAGATTGTAGAGGAGGGGAGTTCGAAGGCGCAGCAACTGGTAGCTGTTCTGTGGTGGGTTCTGCAGATTGAGGTTGAATGGCGACAGGCTCCGATTCTTGAGTCGCATATCTCGACGATTTCAAACCGTTGTTCGGCGCACCACCTCGACCTCTTCCGACACGTCTTCTATCTGCGCCTCGTTCCCTTTGGTTTTTGTTGTTGTTATGATGACTGTTATTTGAAGGTCCAGGAGGTAAGGATTGTGCGCCATTACTATGTACATATGTTTCTGCAGTTGGTGAAAGTTTGGAAACGGATTGAATTGGTGCCTCTTCTATGACTGTAGGCTCAGATGCAGGTTCGAACTCGTCGGCGAAGAGATCATCATCTCCTCTTGATTGCGCGAATTCATCCATGTTGGGTATGAACTGGTGGGGTAAGTGGAAGAAGGTAGACTTGTTGAGTTCTTTGTGAAGTATTTGCAAACGAGGAAATGTATGTTTGAGTGGCGTATCACACTGTATATTTCGAATTCAATTATCGTATGTACATCTATCTTTGGAGAATTATTGGTGGTGAATAGTACAACAGGTCATTAGGTGAGTTTTCATGGGAAGGTGGGAGGCCGGCTAAATATCGGTATGAAGATTATGTAATAATACTCCATGATGGCATTGATGACGACAAGTTGTGGACGATCAATACTATGAGAAATCATAAATCGAGACATTTGCATATACCTAACTAGTTTTAGATCCTGTATCGAGTCGAAGGGGGTTTTTAATTCAACTAATTCACAAAAACTGGTGTCCTTTTTAGGGAAAGGCCTCCCATCATTTCCACTACTTGCTAGGTAGGCTTCTCAGCTCACAAAAAGGCAGAATAAGAAGTGCGAGGGAGCATCCTACGTGCCTATAATCCTTATATGGAAATTGTTCTAGTAAAGTAAATGTCCATGAAATACCCAACAGTCGCAAATTGAATCATCGTATCAGAGTAGGTGCGTCGGTGGTCATCCTTAGCAGAATCGAAGACATGGCATGAAGCGAAGAGGCTAAGGGCGACTCATTCCTCTAGTAGACTCAAAAACTTGTCGAGGTAGAAAACATCACATTCTAGGCAGATAAAATATATAAAAAAAGCAATATTTAACATTGGCACGGAATTGAGAATACCATCACCCCTGTATAGCGTACAGCTAACTAACAATTTTGAAGGAAATCGTATCAGGATTCAGATGAGCTTGAATATCTATGGTTATATTAAAAAATTTGATCTATCATTGAGATGGATAGCATTCCCGGATTATTACTACTTACTAAACTCATGAGAAAAAGCAGAAGGTGAACTGCAATGTATCTAATTGTGAATCGTAAGTCGGGTACCCTACTTTCGGGCCACCCCCCTTTTAGGCCACTTTTTTGTTACGACCGAGGTCGTCACATGACTAGATTGATTAAAATATCACCTGACCAAGGTGTCCCACTGAGTCCCACTGAGTAAGGCCCAGTGGGACACAGTGGGAAGCAGTGGGACAACAGAGAACGAAGGTCTATATAAGGGAATGGGATTTCATTACAATATAGAGCTTCGTGCTCAAGAACAATCATTAGTTTCATTACTATAGTTACGAGAATTGCAACCAGTTACAACCTTATTGAATTCCTACTTGAAGTCTAGTCTAAACCACCTCGAGAGATCTCTAGACACTTCCACGTGACCCTAGAGGCAGCTCCCGTAACATTTTTATACCAAAAATGGAAATTTTAACTTTCTTATTTATGGATAGAATTTATTGAAAATTTATATATATATAATTTAGATCGTTTTGAATCTAATCTGAAATTTTTAGATTTTTAGGATTTTTCTGTATTGAGATCTAGAGCTTCAAAATATCGATTTTTAAATTTGTATAGGAATTATATACAAATTTAAAACTTTTATAAAATCTTTAATAGCTTTTTAATAAAAATTATTAAAAATAAATTATAAAGTTTTATTATAAATTTATAATATATTTATTTTGAAGGATTTAGAAAATAAAGAAAACTTCTTATAAATAAATATTTAAAAGAATACCCTTAAAATTATAGGGATTATTTATACTACTTTAAACTTACTATATATTATATTTCTATATCTATTAATTTTTTTTAAAAAAAAAATTAAATTTTTTTTATTTCTATATAAATTTAAGTTCAAAACTTTCAAAAAAATAAATAGTTTTCTTTTAATGATTATTATTTAAAAGTTATTAAAGATTTTATAAAAGTTTTAAATTTATATGTAATTCTTATATAAATTAAAAAATCGATATTTTAAAGTTTTAGATTTTAATATAGAAAATTCCTAAAAATTTCAAAATTTCAGAATAAGCTTAAAATAGTTTAAATTATATATATTCAAATTTTTATTAAATTAGATTATGTATTAATAGAGATATTAATAGGTCAAAAAAATGATGTTTGGTGTAAAAAGGTAGTCCAAAATAGGGGTGGCCTGAAAGTAGAGTGGTCGACTTATTAGTCAAATCCGAGTTGTAGAGATAACATATACATCGAAAGGTCTAATGCCAAACTGCAATGATGCCTCAAATCCGTGAACTTCTAGAGCTTAACCTAAAACATTGTGAATCTCCGCATTAATTCTATCAACACCCACCTCGCAAAACCAATGTACTAGTAACTCAGTACTTTCATCCGCTCTTGCTAGTAACAGAGATAACAGGTCATTGTTCGATGACAACATGAACCCGCCATTAATTTCGCATTAACAAATGAATTTTAGATTTTGGTGGTGAAGTTCAGCAAAGGTCACCAAGGCCTGTAAAAGTAGCTGTCGATGCATTCCATATATTCCTGGACCAGGACAAGATTCGGATATCCCATGAGAATTAAGTAATTTTCGATGCGCTCTTAACTTTCAGAGTTATGATGATTGTAAAATAATACTCCTTGGCTGATTGAGTCTAATCAGGCGCAACTTAGTTCATGACCGCTGTGATGGGAGAACAGTCCATATATTAGTCCATGTATGATAACCCCGTTGCTTGCCACATACTGAGTTGCAATCACACTTGTAGCAACACCATAAATTTGTTGTCTTTGCCAAAATTCGTACGGAATCTTGATCGAGACCACGGGCGGTTGGTAATCATCTTGGTTAGAGTCCATTTCACCGAAGTTGGATATGAAATTCTAGGTGAGTAAGGTCTCGGTTAGCCGTGGTAGGGGTTTGTTAAGCGAAGTGTTTTGAGGTTACAGTAGAACTTGACTATACCGGACTAGGATATACCGGAAACTTGGATATACCGGACTTTTTTTCCATTTTTTTCTAAATTTATATGGGAATACCGGAATTTCGATGAAAACCGGTATACCGAACTAAATTGACAAAATTCCGGTATAAATTTTGGTAGTCAATCTGGCTGAATAAGCTATATTTTGGATGAGTAAGCTTGAAAGGCTATTATCACATGATATTTTCTCGAAAATATCGGGGTTTAGAGCTGAAATCGGATATAAATTTTGGTTAGAAAGCTTGGGCCACCATTATTTATACCGGAATCTTCTTTATACCGGATTTGATTGGTCAATTTTTTTATTCCGGTATAGCCAAGTTCTACTGTAGGCCAATCGATCGACTTGGCTTAGATGCTAAAGTACATGATGTGGCATGGTAACCAGAGGAATGGTTGAAGTATCTATGCTCTGGACTCTCTTAATCCAGGGTACGTATAAAGTCGCGAGCATAAGTTAAAGCAGATAAGCCTTATACTTTCATGACTTTGTTGAATGATGGGTTGTTTTTGTTTAATGGTTGTGCAATTCTACCACAAGCAAGGAATCCCTAGTAAATCCAGGCACTTTGAGCCCAACAATACTACCCTCAGAACCTCCAAAAAGTAATTTTGTTATCAGACGATGCGTTTGGAAATGCTGAAAGTTCCCATGTTCAAATCAAAGAAATATACTCGTTGTGTTGCACTGTAGTCCCCCATTTGATCACCACAATAAAAATGCAACAAATTTCTGTTCAGAGGATCCATTGGCGGTGTGAAACACATTGGTACCTTCATGTTTACCAAGGGCTTTTTGAGCAACCACCAAGACTTGGAGACTTTCAAAGTGAAATGGTCTCATGACAACATCACTGATGTCATCTAGGAATATTCTTCTGCTTGTAAGAAGTGGTACCGATCCAGTTTTCGATTGAAGAAAGAAGTTGCTAAAAATGTATCATCTACATGAGGGTTGACTTGGTAGAAGTGAAGGTGGAAGCACGAAGACCCGGAAGTGAGCAAGGATTGAGATTAAATTAGATTGTATGCTCAGATGAAATGACTTTTGCCATCCATCGTTTTATTTTCTGATGGAATGAACACAAAAGCCGGGCTCATAAATGTAGATGAGAGGTTGTAGTGCCCAAAAGAATGTTGGAGAGTGTAAGATTACGGGTTACGGAATATCATTCTACCGGGCACCGACTGAATCCATTTTCAGCGCTAGGAATTTTATCAATCCATCATCACATCGCCATCGATTGAAGGAAAAAAAAGGGTAAATATTAATCAACCAGTAACGACCATTTATAACTCCATCCAGTCGCAACCTTCGCAATCCATCGATACTCGTACATCAAATCCAGCGTTCATCTGCCACAATCTCAACACTTCACGGTTTTCTAGGCGGGACATCGAGCGGGAAGAAAAAAGTATCGAGTCCTAATTTAAAGAACATACAAAATGGATCACACACGAGACCCATGTCCTTGGGTGGCCTTGAACGATTTTGGAGGAGCTTTTTGTATGGGCGTACGTAATTGCATTATTTCTTTTGTTCTCCCCAGAGATACATTGATTTCTGCAAAATTCTCAAGTGTAAAGCTCATAAGAAAGAAATGCTGATAAAGTTTTCTTCAGGCAATCGGAGGTGCAGTCTGGCACGGTGTTAAAGGCTTTCGAAACTCACCTTACGGCGAGAGAAGGATTGGCGCACTCACAGCTATAAAGGCACGAGCTCCTGTACTAGGAGGAAACTTTGGTGTTTGGGGTGGGCTTTTCTCGACTTTCGACTGTGCTGTTAAAGGATTGAGGAAAAAGGAGGACCCTTATAATGCTAGTATGTTCTTTCGAAAAATTTAGCTTGCAATCTTTGCCTGCAGATTGTTGAGCGGGTTGATTGCAACGATCCGAAATACTGACACCAAAATAGTTATTGCTGGATTCTTTACTGGTGGTGCTTTGGCAATTCGTGGCGGTGCAAAAGCTGCAAGAAACTCAGCGATAGGATGTGCGGTTCTCTTGGGTGTCATTGAAGGTGTCGGAATTGGTTTCCAAAGAATGATGGCAGGAAATACGAAATTAGAGGTACACATTTCCCTTTGCTCATTTCCGTCCATCCCATATTAACTTGTAATAGCTACCTCCTCCACCTCCTCCACCATCTGAATCCGGTCAAACCGGGTTTCCAGCCATCGCATGATTTCTCTGCTTTACATTTCTACAAATATAATACCTCATGTTGGTCGACCCCTCCAACAAATTACACAAACTCTACTCTTTCCGTCCAGCCAATAGAAGGTTTTGGTCGCATGTATTCACCTACATTATAACATCGTGTAGGACCTCGTACTTCATACTGGACTTGTTTGCATAGCTGGGATTGGTGTATGTATATCTAGATTTGACCTTTTGGACCCTTTCCCAGATTTGAGAATGGTTAAGGTTATGTTATCAAGCGTAACAAATGGAAATGAAGATGAAATTTCATGTGCCCATGATGGTGATTTTATGGCTGGGCCGTGTGCAAATGATTCAGAAAGATCTGTTTGGTCTAGCGGCCGACCCCTTGTTGTTTAGCAAGCCAACATTGCCATGTATATATGTTCCTTGGTGTGGGTGAATGAGTTATATTCGTTTCGTGTTTGAGTTCTTTCCTATTGGTATTTCCTTCAATCATAACAATTATTAAATTTACTGTTTTTACCCCATCTCCATCAGTCACACTAATCATTTCCTCCTCACTCTTATACGTCGCGACCAATGAAAGCAATCAGCCCTTCCAGTTTCCTATCTAAAACATGTGCTGCGTTCAATAATTCATTGTACCCTCTGTTTAGAGCAGCAATTAAAGTACTAGGTACTTGCCACATGATTTCCGTTCCTTCTTCATCTGATAATTGACGGACTAGAATCTCTACAGGTACAAATAATCCCGCGTCGAGAGATTTAGTAGATTGAGAGAGCATGGTAATAGCTATCAGTGGATTTCCTAGTATGATACGTTTTACACCAAGTTGTGGATTGCTATTGATATCGAAGAGTGAGAGCCAGGAACCATGATCGAATTCCTTTTAATCATCGGTCAGCTCTCGTTTCCACTTCACAGGTATGCTTTCAGAATTTGTCTCGCCGATAAGCCAGTAAAGCAGATTAAAATAGTTGGGGTAAACGTACACCAAAACAGCATAAATCCTTGAGGTCCAACGGCCGCCTCAACTCCTTTGATGGATTTTTCCTTGTTGGTTTCGTCATATGATCTAATATTTGCGGCAATTGCTGGTGATTTTAAATCTGTAGGTTTTCCAATTGAAGCATAGAGCTTTGACATAACCATCTCAAATGCTAGAGTGGGGCATACTAGTATGTTAAATACTAGAACTCACGCTTGTTACTATCCAAATGATTACTGATTGTATTTGGTGGTACGATTTGAGAAAGGGTTGCCAATATCCGAATGATATTCACTCATAGTGGGAACTAGTTCGTGTATTAATCTTTCATTGTAAGATCTTACACCAATCTCAAAAGCCCCTGGAGAGTGGGGCGTCAACCGTTAAAGGATTTTGATGTCACGTGACATTGTTGATTACTCTACATTTTGCCAACCGTGGCTGATTGAATATTTCCACCAACTCCTCACTCCCCGCTCTGAATTGAAGATTTGATAAACTAGTCATCGTACTATTACATCATCTAAACAATGCGTAAGATATGTGTCTTCCTAACCATTAGCTATTCCTTTTCAGCACCATGAACTACATGTTAACTAGTGGCGACATCGATACCTCATGAAATGACTTAACCTGGCCCTGAGTGTTGATAGTTTTACTTCAGGGCTGTTATGGATATTCAGTATCGTGACTGCATAGGCTCGAGATAGGTTCTTGCTAACACTATCCCTACAAGGAATCAGCCGTCTTGTTGACCTTGTTGACCTCGAACAATTGGAGCCGCGGTGGAATTGGAAGACTATTTCTTGATAAAAATTTCGAATGGATGATTGTAAAATCTTAAGTCTTAATTATTTTGTGTCTATGCAGTCTGACCTGCTTCATTGACTGCCAATCTAGTGTATATTTCTAGAAATCCCCTTGCCTAATAATACTTAAAAACCATGCGGCCAAAAAACTTTCTTAACGATTACTGATCCATTCCATCCAACTCCACCAGCTTCGTTACAACTTCCACTACCTCGTTCCCGGACAGATCCATTCCAGGTTCATCAATCTTCTTTGCTAAAACATCATCCAACATTCCTCTCAATCTACTGACTAAAACACCGATACGTGCCCAACCCCTCAGTCGTAACCAACCATCTACCAAAAGACCTCTACCCAATGTATCTAATGTAATTGGCCCAGAGAACAAAAGTGCCGTATATGCGTTGAAAGGTGTAAGATCTCTAATAAAAACTTTACTCGTCGCCATTTTATTGAAATAACTCATGTATTTGCTGTTACCAGGGAATGTTTGTGCATCAAAGATTGTACTACTTGGATGAACAAAAACACGTCCGTTTTCTTGATTGAAGTATTTGATTGTCTTTGCTTCCGGATCTAATTCCACAGCACCGGAGACAGAGGCCGCAAATTTCTTATCTGGGAAATCGATACGTGCAAGTTGAGGATTAAAAGCTCCTGCGCAAAGGGATCGAATAAGAGCATTGTTTGATGATTTGGCTGATAAAGCTGGAGGAAGAATCGACGATGGCGGAATGAAACCTATCTCACGTAGTGACGTAAGATATTGAGTTCGATTTGAGGATATATCGTTGAGTGTCTGATATGAGAGGAAGTTATCGTTGCACCAATTTCGAATTTCTCCTTGTCGATAACTATTGAAAATTAGTGTCATATTTCAATATCAGGAGTAGAACAATATACTTTCTATTGTTAATCATCTCGAACCATTCCTCAAAAGCTCGGAGATCACCAATCAAATCACCTTGATTTTTAGCGAACTTTGCCCTTACAGATTTTGACTCTTCTCTTTTATCCTGAGGTGATACAAAAGGGGATTTAACTGTCAAGATAGCTGCGATTGTGACAGCGGCATCCAAACAACCAAACATAGCTCCGTAAACCATTAGTTTACCGCAACGAAGATCAGCAGGGATCATTGAAAGATGACGACCTAAAGCAGTAAGATCATCACCATCAAGGGCACCCATTCTTCCCAATAAATCCATAGCACCATCAACAGCTATACTCTCAGGAGGAGTAATGGCACTTGCTAAGAATGATCCTACTTCCTTAATTCCCATAGCTCGTACAGATAAACATAATTGTTCCAATGGTACTCGTCTAATCTCAGGTTCGGGTCTCTCCATCATTTTTGATTTCTCGGCATTTCGTGTGTATAATTTATAGCATTTTCCTGCTTGAACACGACCTGCTCTACCTCTTCTTTGTTTACATGCAGCACGTGAAGCCCATACCTCTTCCAATTTACGCATGTTATTTTGAGGATCGTAACTTGTCTCCTTAACACGACCAGTATCTATGACTGCAACAATATCATCGATTGTGATTGAAGTTTCGGCAACATTCGTGGCAACGATAACTTTACGTTTGCCATACGGAGCATGTGGGAATACTTTTCTTTGATCTGATGATTGTAGAGATGCGTGTAATGGTAGAGCATGTAGATTCGGTATGTTCTTCAAGTAATCCAGCGTTCGAGTGATTTCAACCAGACCTGGCATGAAGATGAGAATTCCACCATCTTGTTTAAGATGAGTCAATTCAGCATCAATCTCTTTCACAGTTTGACTGATCAAATCATAATTGATTCTCATACCAATACTTTGAATGGCAGCTGCAACATCCTGGTCCATACCAGATGTTTCCTGATTGTCTTCCTGGTACTTAGTACCAAATCCCGGATTGAAATTAGTCATTCGAATAACATCATCAAGATAGTAGTCTTCCACTGGGTATGTGCGACCACTAATCTCGACTCTACCAACTTTTCCACCACTTTTGAAATAATCTTCGAAAATTCCAGCATCCAAAGTGGCACTCATCAAGATTAATTTCAAATCTTTTCGTTGGCGAAGAACATCCCGTAACAAAACAAGCAAGAAATCTGTATCCAAAGATCTCTCATGAACTTCATCTATGATAACATGACTAACATCTGCAAGTGACGCCACTACATCATCACTACTTCCTCCGGATGTTTGTAATCGTCTCAGAAGTACACCTGTAGTCACAAACGTAATCTTGGTATTCGGTGATGATTTTGACTCTCCCCGAATAATGTATCCAACCTCTTGACCGACGGCAGAACATCGCTCATCACTAACCCGATCTGCCAATCCCAAAGCAGAGATACGTCTAGGTTGCGTACAAATAATTTTCGCACAATCTCCAAACGCTCGTTGATACATGTCATCCAGGATAAATTGAGCCGATTGAGTTGATTTACCAGAACCAGTTTCACCCGAGATAATAGTAACTTGGTGAGAATTGACAGTGTCCACGATAATATCCTTCATTTCCCAAGCGGGTAAAGTTCTTCGACCTTTGATCATAGATTCCAACTTCGGATTGAGTTGTCGACTTTTCCATTCATCCTTGCTTTTAATGTTGGCAATCCATTTAATCGCTCTAGGATGTCTTGAGATATTCTGTCTTCTCCGACGAACTGGCTGAATTTCACTGACTATCGATGCAGCGGCCGAAACATCGCTAAGCTTTCCGGGCCTTTCAATGATACTATAAAGATGTTGTTCCACCCAGTCTATGAGGAAAAATAGCATATGTTCACCTAATAAACTATCCATGGCATGATTCAACGCCTGCTTCATAATGCTCAAACGAATATATGCTGGCAGTTGAACGTGAACAGATATGACCGGAACGTTTTGTGGATACTGAGAAGATCGACGAAATTGAATGATAGGTTCGACAGGAAGATTGGTTCCACGATTTGATGGTTTGATTTTAATTCTGCAAACATCTTTCGATGGACGGGAATAATTCTCCCCAAAAACCGATTGAAGACCAGTCATTTCTTCTTCCCAAATTTCTTCTGAAGACTCTTTAGCATTTTCAGTGTCCCAGGAGTCCTCGCTTGGAATAGATTCGACATCTCTTCCACTCGACAAGAGTATGTGTTGTAAAGCCTCCGAAGCTTTCCCTTCATCGTTATGAATATAATAAATTTGCTTGCAAAGCTCGATTGAATACCCAGCCTCAGCCAATCTCTTGATAGCACCTTCGCGCTTCAAGTCACTACTTGCCATACTAATACCAGCGACATATCCTTCAGGCAATGCCCATCTTGGTAGATCATCCTCTGGAACATGGATCAGTAACCATTCAAGTGTCTCCTCTCTATCTTTGCATATTTCCACAGCTTCTTCGATATGACTCTGCCTGAAATCAAGAGTCTTGAATTCTTTCACAATGGAATGCTTCTGAAAGTCGGATAACACAACATCATGTGGGTTCCAGATAGCATGTTTTCTTACTAAACTTTCGACTTTCGTTCGCGTACGTTTACCCATCTCGATTTTAGGTACTTTGGTCCACCCCCTGTGAATATTGTTATGCGATGATCCCCCTCCTGTTGAATTTGTACCGTTGCTTCCATTACCACGTAATGCCAATCCTGCACCTCCTGGACCTGCCGATCCTGGTGTATTCATAGCCTTTTCTCTAGCCTTTTGTTGTTCATTCCGCTTCTTTTCCATTGCAGCTTTTGCATCTTCTCTTTCCCTCAACGCAGCAAATGGATCCGCCTCATACATCCATGCCTTTCCTTCCTTGATATCCTCTTTCTTCAAAACTTCGAACTCACCCTTCCATAAATCTCGATAATCAGGTGGAAGTGTCATGTGAATGTTTCGCATATTAAGAACCCGAAAGAGACCATATGTGGCAGCGAAATGTCTAGCTTCAAGAGCTGTAGGTTTGACTGCAAGGTGCTTATGCGAAGGTGGTAATTTGAAGGGGGCTAGAGATACGAGTTCTTGGGTTTTCGTATTCTTAGATTTTAGGATTACCATTGAGGAGAATCCTTCCGGAGTTTTCATCTATTGTTCGAAGCCTCAGTATTCGCCATCGTTATTGTAGACATTTCCGTAATCTCCACAGCATTAAAACACATACCATAGTATATTCTGGTTTTTCCCATCTTTGCTTTTGACAATGTTCCGCAAGTAAATTGACGGGCAACTTTCCAGTCCATGATTGCCCACCAATCAATTTCTTAACATCCGGTCTCTTTGGCGCCTCACCCAATGGATCTGGTCCATCTTGTCCTAGAGTTGGCGGCTTCCTTTGCTTTGGCTCTTTATCCGAATTTGAGAATACTATAAAACTATCGTCTGCAGCGGGCGTCGTTGACGTTTTATTTTTACCGGCAGATGTACCTGGTTTTGGTCCACCTTTCGATGATTGTCCTTTCTTGACCATATTTGGTCTCTGCAGTCTTGATGACAGGCAGATCCATGAAATTTAAAAGTAATAGTAATGAAGGCGTTGAGATCTTTTAGCGGTTCATTAAATTTGGATGCTGGTTGGAAATAAAGTTTTCCCCACAAGGCTGAAATAATTGTGAAGCTCGGACTTTCTTTGCATTTGAAGTGTATGTGCGTCATTCTGGTTTGGTGGAACTTCGTAGCTCAGCCTTGTTGATTATTTGACTGGGTACGGAACCTTACTCCAATTAGTAGCCATCACCGAGTGGACATCAATTAAACTACCGGTACTGTTGCGCAGGTACTATTCTACTCTACCACTCTCGATTTTACAATTTAGGAATTGACGAGGGTATGTTTAAGGTTAATATCTGGGGTCTCACCAATATACAGAATACATAAAACCTCTTCTGCCTGGTTAACCTCTACTCAATCGTAATTATGGCTTCAGAAATCGAAGAGGATACTAACGGGACATCTCAAGCATCTTCCTTATCTAACAAAAACTCTTCTAAACCAAACGCATGTACTGTAACACCATTCGTTCTCTTTACTCCCCATCTATGTGGAAGACTAACAAAACTTCATAGTTACCCAAATGATGTCAAGTTCGCGATCCAAACGCCCTAATTCCTCCCCAACATCCTCCCCTCCTCCTAAAAAGATTGCGAATTCGAATCCTTTCTATTTTGGTCGAGCGGGTCTCGGAGTTTACTTATCAGACCCCTCATCACATCCTTCATCACGCATGATCTATCACAACTCTTCATTTGTGGCCATTCATGACCTTTACCCTAAATCTTCGGTTCACGCCCTCCTAATTCCACGAGAGGAGAAATGGAATAGTGTGCACCCGAAAATCGCATTATCCAACCCCGACTTCCTCGAAATGGTGAGACCGGAAGCAGAAAAGTTGAAGGGGATAGTTGCATCAGAGTTACGTCGAAAATATGGACCGGAATCTGCAGAAGATTTGCAAAGGCAAAAAATACTTAACGGAGAAGTCAATCTTGACGATGATGCTGAGATGCCAGAAGGTAGGGATTGGGAAGAAGATGTTATGATTGGAATACATATGCATCCATCAATGGATCATCTTCATATTCACGTTCTTTCCGTGGATCGTTATTCTTCATGTCTGAGGAAGCGAAAACATTACAATTCATTTGCTACACCATTCTTCGTCAATTTATCAGAGTTTCCTTTATCCGAGGAGAGACAAGAAGCTCTCGCTAGAAAAGGACAAGGTAAAGCATGGCTAGAAGATAATTTGAAATGTTGGAGATGTGGTTTACAATTTGGAAACAAATTTGCTAGGTTGAAGGAACATTTGGAGTTGGAGTTTGATGAATGGAAAAAGAAATAAAGGTCAAGCAAAAATCATTATACCAATTTTCATCCTCCACACATACTTTCTGCGACACAATTACTGATAGAACTCATCTCAACCATACCGATCGTAGTTTCTGACATCACGAGCATATATATCCATATGAATCTTAACACACCAAATGAAAAGAAACGATTCAATAATGGGTCAAATGCTAATCTAGTACCTACGAGAATTCATCCGTCTAGAAAACAATCCACCTCGCTTAAGGTTATCGAGCCCCATTGTTCGCGCCGTCGATCCAACACAAAGGAACCACCTTTACTACGAACTCACAACTACTTTGCAACAATGCTAATTGTGTGCACAAAAATATCTTTCCGTGACCTCGATTATTCCCTTTTCACTCTGTCCAAACTCCACTCACTAATTCCTCAGTAACTAACTCAGCAACTAACCACAAGCTACCACTTTAGATTCTCACTTTTAACTACAACGACTCTCAACTACACCTTTCAAATCACTGAAAAGATGTCCGGAATGAACGCTGTTGCCACCGTTGTTGCTTCTCTAATCATCATCATTTTTGTTATTGTCTTCATGATCTTCGTTCCCAGCTACATGGGCATCAGATTTGAACGTCGACGCATCGCAGCTCAAAACAATCGTCAATCAACGAACTGGCCATTTCCTCCACAGCAGGAACAGCAACAACAGCATCAACGACCAAGACATGAATACGATATCGAGATGAACGATTGGCCTTTGAGATGTCCAGAACCGGCTTTGACAAGAAGATCTTCTGATTGGCCTTTGGGAAGAATGGAACCAGTAGTCATGTCGGAGAGAAAAAGAGAAAGTATTAAGAATGTTGTTTTGGAGTCTGGTGGTAATCTTGAGGGATTTCCTTACCATGCGCGACAAAAGCTGACATTTAACGCTCAGAGGGAGAGGACTTGAAAAGGTAGGTGGAAAAACGAGATGCTAAACATTACGAGTTTCCCATCAGGTAAGCGCAAGTGCACTCATACAATTTAATCCTATGAACAAAAAATAGTACAAACCCATGTATAAATGAAAAGAAATGAAATGGTGACAGATTTGAAAAACTTTCTGCTGTGGTATTAAGTTTATGACGTCCTCACCCAATCAGACTAGAAACAAACTAAGACATTATGTCAATTTTTACAACGTCATTGAAAAAGATCTACAGCGGAGTAATGTAAGGAGAACCTCAGATACTAACACCATAAAGGACATCAATAGCTCAAACAGCACAAAATTGAACACAAGATACGAGAAAACGGCTCTGTACAATATCTGAGTTACACAATATTTGCAGATCTGACTCGTATCGACTTTTAGAAGTGTGCAACGTATGATCCCATCAACGAATGAAGATCCATTGCTACAAGAAACACGAGAAACTCCATTCCTTTAGGTAAGGGTGTAGAACAACTGGTATGATTTTTGTCTCCATCATAAGAAAAATGGTATGATTTTTGTGTTTATGATGGAGAAAAATGTAAGGTGCCGATGCGGACGGTTGAGGATGTAATGTCTCTTGGAAAATAGTGAACTCCCCATGATGTATATATGCGGGAACTTTCCCAATCATGGTGCAGATTTCTAGCTTTACCACATTTCTGTCGGGAAAAAAAAACACCTCGCAACTGGATTGAATTCATATTTCAAAAACTCAATTCAAAATGCATATCCAAAACTTTCTCTGCGCCCTTATCTCTCTCACTCTCACGAACCTCGTGACCTCCTCTCCAACTGAAGCCGGTACCCTCTCCACCCCACCCCCACCAGGAGAAAGTAAATTTCCCCTCCTCCTCCTCCTCCTCCTCACTCTTCCAACCAACTAACAAACACCCAGCCTACCTAGTCGGATTTCCCATCTGTGCAATCCCCGGATTCACTGAAATCCCCGGCGATTACAACGAAACCATTCATCAATATCCCAACGCTACACTCGCAAGTTGTATTAATGAGTGTCGATCTGCATATCCAGAATGCAAAAGTATTGCTTTTCATGCGCGGTATACGGAATGTTTGTGGTTTGATGAGAGGGTGGATAAGACGCAATTGTATGAGGATGATACGAGTGAATTCGTTCATTATGATTTGATTTGTCCGGTGCCTGCTTGTTAGGTATGGATGTCAATTGACTGGTGGAGGTGGGAATAGAATGTGATAATCATGATACAACAAAGCGATGAATGAAACTTATCAGCGATGTTCTGATGAACAACACTGACAAGGAGGTTAGCGAGGTGGGAGGAGGTGGATGTTATTGGAGACTCTTGATTTTATCCTTCCCCGAACAATTCATCTTAAAGCAGCATCGTTAGTGATGAGATTGCTATATTAAAGATTTTGAATGCATTTGTATTACAGTATTGTACTCCAAATTGTAAATCTTACTATTTTATTTCCATATCTCAAATATGTTCAATCTCCTATATGAAGCCTCCAGGTGAGATATCTCATCTGTCCCCACCTCGAATCATTGGCAAACCAACCCGGGTGAACCACTTGATCGTTGAAACATTAAATATTATTTCCATTCATCTATTCCTCTTTTCCTTCATTCCTCTTTGCCTACTCTCTCTTCTCTCCCTTCCTTTCCTACTTCTCGAAATTCCCCTCCTTTGAATTGTTCTCTTGACCCACCACACAATCATGTCCCTCATTAAGAATAAAATAACGACAAAAGCAACAGGTAAAGCTATTTGCCAAAAATATTTCTCGTTATGTTCTATACTTGGCATGTCGGTGAAATTCATTCCAAAGTAACCTGTCAAAAAACTTAACGGCAAGAAAATGATAGTGACAATTGTTAGTTGTTTCATAGACTCATTTTGATATGCTGAGATGGTGTTAAAGATTAAATCAATCATTCCATCGGCATTTCGTCGAAGTTGATCCAAAGACTCCGTAATCAATACGATATGATCTTCAACATCTCCAAGGTATGTTTGTGCCATTTGACTAATCTTAACGGCAGATGCTGCCTTTTGTACATCACCTCTTTGTCCAACATTTTTGTGATCTCGGAGAGAATTGATCAGATTAGCAATCGGATTGATGAAGTTGCGTAATGTAGTTATTTCGCTAGTAACGACGTATAATGATGTCGTATGTTTAATATTTGGATTTGTCAAGACATCTAGCTCTAATGAACCAATGATATCCTGATAGGCGGAGGTCACAGGTATAGCAAGATCAATGACAGCATCGAGAACGGCCTGCATTATCATTGATGCATCACATGATTTGCGAAGTATTGTATCAGAATTGTATAATCTGTGAAGGATGGGCTCTTCAATGTCATCTGCGGAATTTTCGAAGAAGGAAATGACGGTGTTATCTATGTTATATTAGATCAAACTCAACAGAAACAAAAGGACTACTAACCAGCAGTCAAGAATATCGAGACCTGCTCAGCACTAACGGCCAACTTTTTTTGTGTCAAAGGAGAAATTTTCTCCATATGTGCCGCTCTTTCTTGGTTTGGTCCTCCATGATATCTTTGTAAAGTCCTTAATTTTTGCACTGGGGAGTTTTGTACACCATCCGTATGCCCAGTTATATATTCCTTAGTTGTGTCATGAATCCCGCCCGCTAGCGCATCGGTGGGTGTAACATTGGAATTCCTCCGCTTCATAAGTTTATACAACGCTTTACGAAATGGTCCTCGTTTCCTTTTCCTAGGAGCCTCCAATGTTATATCTTGTTCGTTGTCGCTATCGCTTTCCGACTCGCTGTCTTTATCTGGATGTAAATGAACGAGTTTTTGCAATGTCAAAACGACATAAGTATGGTCAGTGTACCTAGATATCATTAGTCCTTGGCCATGAGAATTTGCTGCACAACATACCAATCTGCCTTTGTCCTATTATTGAGATTGACCATATCCTCAATTGCCAACCTGTGTAATTTCTTCTTTTTGCCAATGGCTTGTATTACATCCCAACTTAATCCATTGATATTGACCCATCGACATTTAATCCACTCCTCTTGTTCCATATCCAAAAATTGAACGAATTCTTCATTATTGAATTCCCTTTTGACTATCTTATCTTGACTGAAATCCACAAGAGTTATCTGGCAATCCTCGTGTAAGTTGAAGCTAGCAGTTCGACCACCAAAAGGTTGTGATGGATCCAAACCAGGTTCTTGTCCTGGATGCCATTCTGGTTGACTGGGTGAAACATCAACAGTGGGAAAGGTATTGGTTCGTGAACGGGTTGCGCGACGTCGAACTGGTGATTGTCCCGCCAGGGAATCTGGGGCAGATTGAGTGGTCATTGTAGGCTCGAGTTCATCTGCAGATTTAAGATAAGCAGGTTTTGGAAATGTGCGCATCAAGATAATATCCGTCGGAAGGCATGAAGACTTGTGCGAAAGTCCTCAGAATGAGGAGAATCATATATGCCGTTGTCGCATAAATGTATTGATTGGTTGAAGTTGCGAAAGAAACTCACAGCTTATTCTAGGAAATGCCTCCGATTCAAATTCCACGGTTCTTGATGGTGAGCTTATACCCCCGGGCGAAAAATCTCTTATTTCTGGTTCATACATTCTTCCTTTTCGATATCATTTGTATGCGACGTAACAAATTCTTGTTGTTTCAAATTTTGGATCGATCAAACTCCTTTCCTCAAAATCTGACGGATTCGCGATTCAATCTCCAACCCTCAATTCATCCTATAAGACTAAGTTCGCTCTCACAGGGGTATCAAAATAAATATTTAGTGAATGACAAGAATGGAAAACATATCACGCAACCAAAAGAAGTAAATACAGATAAAATAAAGATGTTGATAATTTACTTGTGGAGAGTAAAACAATGTATTGAGGTTCATCTGATAATTTTTTGGTGCACTCGAGTGCATGCAAGACAAGCTTTGCCAAGCTAAAATTGCCTATTTCTAGAAAGCCACATTTGACTACTGTAAAAGTGCCACCTTCAAATTTGCATGTCAAAAACAACCCCTATTATTTAACGAATACTAGATAGTCTCTCTTCTAAGGAGATGCTTCATATGGAAGACTTTATTCACAAAGTGATGAAGATCAGAATAGTATCCAAGTAGATATTCTAATAGTATGCATAATCCAGTTCGTTTCATTCCATTTTATTCACAAAGGTGTTGTGCTGTACCTACAGCGTATTAATTATCTTGGATCTGGAAACTATTCTCCTGTACGTAGGTATGAAAATGAAGATTTAGAACTCGGGGTTGACATCGTACTGGCCATTAGACCCTAAACTTCGCTTTTTCGCTTCGCTCTAGAAAAATGATATTCAATCAACGATTGGTAATATTAAGTGAAGGGGAAAACAAAGGAAGATGTTGCTTCATGGTAATGACATGTGTGAGAACTTACATCTATGAACGAAGTTCATACAAGTAGGTAGATCCGCGTGAACCCCACAGCTAGTATATTCAAACCCATGACAATCCATAACCGAACAGGAAAGAGGGGGTCTCCTTGAAATTGTCAAAATGCATATGATGAATAAATACCATGATCTGGAGAATCTAGATCATACCTATTGACGTGATAGGTAGCCCGTTGTGGTTCAAGACCTGGTGCCAAGTGGACATCAAATCTGCTTAGTCATTGTTCATTAATAGCGGTGAATATGATAAAGTCCGTTCAAACCTTATTAACCTCATGTTCACATTCACATCACTTACAAAGTATCTACCTATCACATATCATAGCAACAAGAGCCCAATACGATACTGATACGAGTTACTGATGTCAGAGTTAGTACTCACCTCATCACAAGACGCTTCTATCTCAACCCAATATTATACCTTATTTATGACAAACACGGAGAACAGTGGACCCCAAGAAGATCATTATTTCCTAAGGTTATTTATTGATATTCATAAACTTTGTACACAGCCATCCAACATTCCCTACCCCAACGGGCCTCAATCAGGCGCCTATCACTACAAAGTATAAGCAATCATATAAGGTATAAGCATTTTATACTTCTTACGTTAATCTGATAGCTGAGTGCAAAACAAGGCTAATAAGTAGTTCTCAATGTCAACTTATGGTTTTGTAAGATGCATCATTTTGGAGATGTTATTACTGTAACCGCTTAGGTGGGGCAAAACGTGTTGAAATCACATCTTATCTTGGCTATCCAATTTGTAATTGGATGCCTTGTACCTTGACTACTGTGTGTAGATCTTAATATGCTTCCACGAGTGTTGTGCATCATTTTGAGTCTGGGGAAAATATCAATTATAGTAGATCTGGAAATGGAGAATCAATGGTTGTTCCGTTGACGTGATGTTGTATGATCTGCGCGAAATTGACAAGGCAGAAATACCTTTCCACGTGTAACCTTAAGACTTTAGGGAACGAGGATAGAGCGAGTTGAAGACCCCCCTATGCGTTTACTACACGCTATGCACCCTTTTGAAAAAAAAGGTAACCTTCGAGAGACAGTTATGTATTTTCATTTCACTGTCAGATCATCAAGGCAGATAGTAATGAAATTGAGAAGAGAATAAATTTCATTTGGTATCATTTCCATATCGCGATCATAACACCCTCTATCATAACACCCTCTATCATAACATCCTCTATCATAACACCCTCTATTATAACACCCTCTATTATAACACCTCTTTCCTAATTCATTCCCACCGCTCCAATCTATTCAATAACTATGCGCATCAACAATCCTCAATTCCGAAGCCATACCGATTTCAAATGGCGAATGTATCTCAAATGGTGATCCAACATTGATATCCAATCCCATAAATGAATCTCGATCCCTCCCAAAACAATTGCCATCAAATCCCGATGCTGGATGAGAGGTAGTCTTCCATGGTGTTGGTAAGTGAACTGGTACCATAAATTCATATCCTGGTTCGGACGTACCCATAGGTCGTAATAAAGGACTTGCACAAGGTTTAGATCTAGCGCTTAGGAGACTGGATGATCTTGGTGTATATGTGGGTGCATCACAAGTCGATGATGCTTCGGAAGCATTACTTCCTCTTCTTTGACGTGCTGCATCACCAGATGCTCGAAGAAGGTCGAAATCCATTGATGATGTCTTCTTTATTGGTCTTTGACTTCGTATGCTTTGTGCTAATTCTCCAAGCTTCATAAAGTTGTCCATATCTGATATCGAGATAATTGGTCCTCCGGCCATTTGTGTAGTAGATGAAGGCATGATTTACTGTTTTGATTAGTCTTTGTCAGGATATTATCTTGGCACGAATAAACTTACAAATAATGAAAATGTGAATGAATGATTGATTGAATGAAGTCCCAACCAAGTATAGATTGCTTGAGAATAGATGATGAGTGTTTCTCAAAGTGTAGGAAAACGTTTTCGTGTATTGTGATTCGTGCTGGTGTGTATTGAGAGAGAAATTCGTGAATGAGAATGAAACCGTTGTAAAACTCTCAAAGTCGTAATGACATAATGAAGTGGAATCGTTAAGGATAGTATGAGTTGAGTTATTAAACAATAAAGTTATGATATACAAAGAATGATTGCGTGGTATGAAATTTAACTTTCAAAAACGAGGAGAAACGGATACATATATCATGATCCGAATCTCCGTACAACCACATCACGAAATCCTACTTGACACGATATTCTAGTACCCCATGGCCAGCGCCTAGAGATGTAAGATCTGCCTACCACTTGGGTCACCCCACTCGCGCTTGTCACAATCCACCCGAGATCCACCATAAGGCTGTCTCCATTTCCGACCCAACCAAAAGTTCTTTATATTAAGAAATGAATGAAGTGAACCATGCCGTAAAATGAGAGAATAGGTACCAAGCGGTTGCAGTTCGCTTATCCAGTCGTTTCATATGATCACCACGTTTTGGGGGGACATGCGTCTAATTTTGTGGGCCTATCAATCCGCCTATTGTTCTTGTGAACAAGGTCGAGAAGGTCAAGCGAAGGCTGTGTTCTTGGTCTATTAGATCCACAAAAGACATAAATTCTACGATTGGTGCATTCGTTCCGGTGATCAGGTTTGCCGCTGGTATCAATTAACCTCCGAAAATCCTTGTTTTGGACCATCATCATAACCGTTTAAGAAACCGGAGGACAAGGGGAAAACTTGGTGTATACGAAACTGTCACATGTTGTACTTATAGAGTTTTGTTTTGTTTCTCCCTTCCGGGTTTGGGTAAGATATCAACACTGGGGTTTATCTCTTGGAAAGACAGTTTCCACAATATTTGTATATGACACGTAAAAGAGCGGTCTCATTTTCTGCGACCTAGGTGTCACTGTTAAAGAGCCTGGTCTAGAATTACTCGAGGGAGAAATCGATTGGTCTAGTGACTTTATTCACGACTACAAAGTAAACAGAAGCATCCTTCTGTTGGAACATTCAATTGTCGAGATATTACCAAGCACATTTATAAATTGTTGTTGGTTCTTTTGAACCGGAGCCAACGATATTCCAACGTTCGTGTTGAGCTGAAGCAGTAATCTTACCGGACTTATCTACGAGGTTAAGAATAATTGTTTGAATGTCAAATGAAGTTAATGTTATGGTAAACATCCGCTGGGAAGTTAATTTTGAAGTTACAACCAACTGACTTTTTAAAAACATGTTTTATGTGGACTCTTATCAATTCAGGGGATTGAAGTCACGCATCTTGATGCCTATTAAAGTTAGCTTGCGAGAATTAAGTTTAGCTTGGGTTCCCAACCTTAACTTCCACGTTGTCACTTGACAGCACCATGCAATCCGAAATTCCCGTTAACCTTGAATGGGAACAATTGTTGGTCATTGAGAGTATCATAAATCACCTACTGGTACAATGTAAACAAGAGTTAGGATGTCATTTGTCATGAAACATCTCTTGACGCCTCCATTGATTTTAAAAAGAACTAGGTATATACAGATCCATTTGTTTTGAGCCTTATCAAAATATCATCCTTCTGTATTTTCATAGGATGTCCTAAGAGTTGAAACAGTTGGAAAGCATTGTTCCGTCATACTGCAATGCCTCACTGACCACAAATTTACTTACCATTCACTTATTATCTCCAATTTTTATTGAGCCAGCAATAGTCCCCTTCAAGATTGTGCCATTGTCAATACAGCTGGCTTTCCTCAATCAGATACACATGGATCTGTATCAAATCCAGTTTATTATAGGTCTGATAACCGGCGGGCGTGATGTTACGACCGGTACAACCATGATAGAGGATTGCAGTTACGAGATAATACTTACCAGACTTAAAGTTATTGTTTGGGGGGGGGGGGTTTACCCGGGAACCAATCAAGTTTTGAATACCGTTAATGTTGATGTTGTTGCTGGTGTGATGTTGCAAATCTTGCGTTTAGGGCTTTCCCTCTTGGTAATCAATATTCATCCAGTTAGATTTTCTGTACCGATTGGTCGGACTGCTCTGCTGTCCCGAGTGTTTGGAAATTAAGGACTGATGATTGTAAAAAGCCACAAACTCGGGGACAGGAACCCGCACTTTAACAGTAATCTCCTAGATTGATGGTTGGTTCTTCGAGGATACGTGGAGATTTGAAAGCATGGGTTACTGATATAGGAAGTAGTGCGACATGGAATACTGCTCTTTTGCCGCGAGCGCGGTATACACAATCTTAGTCTTCTGAAACATGAGGATGGGGCTTCAGTACTCGGGATGTCATACCAGAATGGTCGGGGTAAGGTATAGCATAGGATGGAGGTAAAACATGTTAGTACGTCTCCCAAAGTTGGACGAATGCGAGACGCGAAATGCAAAATACTGGAATTGACACTTCTACGCTAACAGTAAGAAGCAAAGTGTATGCTGTCATGCTGGATAGACGTCAGTACGTGAAATCCTTCTCCTGTGTCAACTGTCTGACCTGGAAAGCAGATGACTTATTTGAATTTATCTACTCGGCCCGTAAAAAGAGGGTACAAGTCTCCCAATTTCGCCCGAAAGTATCCGACCGTATTTAGTGAGTGAATGCCGGTTCCACCCTTTCCTAGTTTTTGCTAGTATTCGGGAAGATATAAATTTCCGAGATCCGTGACCTGTCCAAATGAAATGGCCATGCTTTCCAACGGTCGGACTATTTGGAATTTTCTATGATCAAGAATCAAATGAACTACCATTGGTACCTTCGTTATTAACTTCAACATGAAACGGTCGATCTTGAATATCAATCATCATGATAAGTAGATTGTCTTCCTGCAGTAGTGGCATGCTGTTTAGAATATTCTGATCAAAACGGAAATAATTTCGACTAGGGTGAATCACAACCTGACATCAGGACGTTAAAAGGTCCAAACACTACAGTCAAAGCTGAGAAATCTCATCGCTCTGATTACCTAAACCATATAGTTTTTGGCATCTAGAACGTCGTTGTGTATCATTCTTGATTTTGAGTAGGGGAACCATGGAATGCGCATATTTTTCGGAAAAGTCTTTTATGAGGACGTGTGTTACGGACTAAAGTCTTGGCTCAAAAGATCATCAATTCCTTCCCTAAATTTCCAAGAGCACAGTAGGTTCTTTGTCCATTGATTAGTGCTGCCACGTGGGGATGTTAGTGCCCGTTATAGCGTCGAACAGATCCTGTATCATCCCGCTTGGGTCGTCTAACCCCATAACATAATTGACAAGTTCCAAAACGATTCTATTCCATTTGCAATTTCCTGGATTGATCTCTTCATTCTCTCCCACATATGAAATAAAAAAATATCAAAACAATGCCACTCACAAAATCATCTTCGGCCATTGAGATTGTACCACCTTCTAGAAACAAATCATCTCAAAAATCGCATCATTCACAAACTTCAAGTTACAGTTCAAATTGTAGCACATCCTCGAATACGATCTCGAGATCTTTGAGTTCCTCCAGCGCATCAGATGGTTTGTTTGATTCGAAAAGATTGGAAATAATGAAAACTCAAACAATAGAATGGTCATATGAACCTGCATCATATTCAAATAAGGAGAAAAATGCACACAATTCGAATACCTATCATACGTGGGAAGCGAAAGGTCCAAATAAGAATTATTCTGGAAACTCTGAACTGAGTAAACTTTAATCGGAGAAGCAAGGATGGACTAAAGACTGAAGACTGAGTGTTTGATATCATTGGAACAATTGTTTCTTTGATATATGAGCACCAGTTGCATAGCATGGAGAACCAAAGCCATGGTATAACCTTTATATCCATGGGGTCCGGGTAGGATGTAGAACCGAGAGATCAGAATAGAGTGATGTCTACTGGACGGCTCGTCAACACCGCAAACCATGCTAGGACAACACACTAGGACAACACACTAGGACTACACATGTCAGAAGAGTACAATCACTTGAAGGGTATTCCGAAGGATTCACATGTTCAAATCCTTTTCGAAGTTGAATCTTTTTGAACCAATAAATTTGAAGGAAGATGTACTGTGCAAGTATCTTAACACTACATACGAAGACGAAGCCGGCTTCCGAGCACAACTGAAGAGGTGAGATGCAATAATGTTGAGCTAGCTTTCGAACTTATACTTCACGCTGGGGAATTTGGTATGAGGAACGACACAAACAGAGGGGCCAGGGTCAAGGCAAACAAGATTTGAAACGGCGAGAAAATTATATCGGATGAAGAATGGAATGAGAGAAAGACTGCCGATGTAATGTTTTGCCGGATGTAATGCACTGCAAATCTAGGAAATGCTCGGAATTAGGAGGAAGTTATAATATAAAGGAATTTAGTGGAAGATAAAGGCAATGTCACCATCAATCTTCACGATAGAAGCATATGTTAGCATGTCTACAGCAAAGACAAAGACTTCTTTGTTACTATTTTTAGGATATGTCTTCAAACAAAACATTCAAACAAAGAAACAAAGGAAAGTGTCCCTTATTGTATGAGAAAATAAGAACAATGCCTCAGTCGAATCCATAAAGTAATCTCAAACCCCCAACCCTCCTTCCATCCAAGTTACCTCTTAATTCTGCATCCTACCAAATTCTAAATCACCTGATAGAATTCACAACAAAAACTCCACAGCAACTTCACCACCACCTCATCTTATCACGACAAAATGGGTCTCTCCAACAAAGGTGACAGCATCGTGGTGTTCACCCTCGTAACATTCTTCTTCATTTTTCTTTCCATCTTCCTAATCTATGTTCCCCGGTATGTCTTCCTCAAGATTAAAAACCACAAAAAAACACCAAGTCGAAGAGAGATGAAAACTTGGTTTCAACGAGGGGTTGAGATTACTGCATCGATAGGAAGACGAAATGAAGTGGAGAGAGATGCAAGAGCTTCTCGATTTGAAGACATTGAGATGGGAGATATGTCGGGCGTTATGAGTGCGAATGTGAGGAGGGGTGCCGTGGTTGTGGCAATGCCGAAACAGGTAAGGGTTTCTGGTAAGAGATTGCCAAATGTAATATAAATGCTGGTATTTATGTTACTTGGTGAGTTTGAGAAGTAAGGTATAAGGTATGCTATGATGCTGGACATTGTGTTATACTGATAAGGAAGGATAGAATTTCAAAACTTTTTTTCTTTGAGTTTAACAGTTTTCATGTGTGAATGGTAGGATGTAGGATTGTGAGTGACTCCAATTTTTTTGTCGGTTGTTAAAGCTCCTGATTTATGGATAAAGGTTTAAGAATATTAAATCCACTAGCAGTATCTTTGTTTGACTAAACAACAACAACAAGAGATATTGACTTCGCTTGTTTGTGATTTTCTTTGTACTTCGGAGTGATGAAAGGCTGTACTCATCACAATCTTTATTGTTTGAGCTCGCATTCTCTGGTAAATTTCACAGGAATGTTTCCATGAGAAAGAACCCACTGGAATTAATGAATTCCGGCTTAATCTCGTGGAGAAAACTACTTCAAGGCACGTTTGCTGGTTATTCTATGCTTACTAAGCAACGTATAAGGATCAAAGTGCCAGCGATAAAAGGGGTCGTTGGCCGAGATATCTTTCTGCTCTCCAGCTACATGTGCAAACTTCATCAGAAGAATGGAATGATATGAATTAGTCTTCCAACTTATTGGTATAATAGATGAAAATTTATGTTTTGGTGGGACAAGTTTCCCCTGTTGAAGCGTTAGTATTGACCGGCGTCGAATATTCATATTAATGGACTTCATAAGTAAGGTCAACCTTGATTACAAAATAATTGATGACATGAACATATTCATCTCCATCAATGGGACATATCTCGCGATCTCGAATGAAGGTAGATTCAGCGTGCCCAGGATAGCCCAGCCGGGGGTTCTTTTCGTATGGCTCCCTACGAAGAAATCGTAACTAGATTGAGCCTTTCGCGCCGGACCGTTATTCTTGTTCAAGGAAGCTAGGACGGCACCACAAGATACTGCTGTGACTCCATCCATCATTTGAGTCAATCACTAACTATAAACATTTAAAGGATACTATCGAACTTACGAATATCTAGAGGCATCGTTCCCTGTCATTAGTTCAATATCATAACCAACCTCAGGTTTATTTGACATCTCTCTTAAATAGTTCCGAAGATAAGACCTCAGGGATGGAGACGCTCCAAATCCTCCAAGTAGGAACACTTTCTAGAAAATCTGTTAGTTTATTTTGCAGAATTACGAAATTCTTTCAATAATTACCTTGACTTTCAAGCCTTTTTCAAGTGCAGCAAATAACTGGGTATGTAATAGCTTCTTTACCCGCTCCAGAAGAGGATTAAATACTTCTTTCCAATCTTGTCTATTTCCGCAACCGAAGCTACGTCAGCAGGTTTTTATTCCTGTAAAAAGGTTGATGCGGGGTAGAACACAGACTTTATGATAACGATATGACCATCATCGAATTTTTTCTCTGCATTTGCCTTAAGTCCAGGAAGATGGAGACGAGTTTTTAGTCCGAAAAGAGAGGTTACATCTTTGCGTCTCTTATAGTCATTCTCAAGATTCGCAATGAAACGATTGGCAATTGATTCCAAGGATTCGCCAGTGGGCCATATGTGAAGCAGATAATCTTCGTCTTTTAATTTAGTGAGACATGCACCAACAAGCTATATGATGGATCGGAAGTTCCTGGAGGGGTGTTGGCTGCGTTTCTCTATTGGCGCATACAAATCAAAATCATTGGTATCCCAGGATGAAAGGGTTACGGCACTAGTCCAAACACGAATTTTTTATCCTCTGTAACTGACGACTGGATCTGCGACTACCGAAAGAGCCTATATCTCAGTATTAATCGAGCACATAATCCCGAAATTGTGTTATCGCATAGTACAGATTTAAGTAGACTTTCTAGGGGATCTCGCACTGATAGTCAAAACCTAGAGCAGGACGCCTTCAACCAGAAGAGCCTAGCACCTTTGAGGTGGCCCATAACAACGGTATCACAATTGACAAGATATCAAAGCCGATGAAAAAAATTACACAGCTCCCTTTACAACTCTCCAATATTATATCATCAGAGCATATGTGCAAGATATGCAAGAGGAGCTTTGAAAAAAACCAAGGTTTGAGTGCGCACCAGAGAAATGGCAAGTTAAGATGATTGATTCAAAGATTGTACTAATATTCTTTCAAGAGACTTGTAGGCGATGTAAGGTATGTTGAAAGATTTGGCCAACGATAGCTGCTCTGAAAGAACACACCAGTAAGAATCATAATAAAAGGATTGGAATTTTTGCGTCTAGCACGGGCGATCATGTGGAGCCACAATCAGCGGCGATTCCTGTTTCAAACGTTGCCATTGAAAAAGGTATATGTGAGGAGGAAGATGTTGAAGAGAGTGATGTTAAGATCGATATCGAGGAAAACGATGGCGAGGAAATTGTTGTCGAAGAGAGTGATGTCGAGATCGATGGCGAGAAGAGCATGTTGAGCAGAGTGATGTCGAAAAGAACGATCTTGATTTGAACTTCGCGAAAGTCTTGGAAAGTGTGAATAATCGAGAGGAAGACATTTCTCAAACAACAAAATCTCGATCGCATCCAGTTAGTGAGATACCCAGCAGCATCGATTTCGAAGAAAGAGAAGAACCAGGATCGCCAGAATCAGTCACGTGCCTCATCACATTAATCGAAACGGACGATACCAACCTTTTGCCTATAGGAAATAGGACTAGCGGCGAAGAAATTGACTCCGCTTCAACAACATCGGAAGGCGAGGAATTAACGACCTCAGAAGGTGAATACCCTTGCGAGAAAATTGAGCTTCGCGAAGAGGGTATGGTTAGGTCTGGAGATTCTACATATCGATCTACTTCGCCGACAATCATAGGACTTGACGATCTAATCGAAATAGATTCAAAAGCTCTTGATACCAAAGAAGAAGCGGCTCTTGATTTGTGTAGGCAAAAAATCAAAGCCAATCTGAAGGTTCAAGTACTACTGAATCTTCCACATGCGACGGAATCCCGGAAACTTTGAAGATTCAATCTCTAGGCCGCTGGATGGTTCCAAAGAGTTGCGACACCTCAAACCTTTTATTCGAAAGCCCCAAACTGATACCTGAAAGACGCGAGAGCCAATTATTTTTGGTGCCCGCCGAGGACGAAAAGGTTGGAGACAAAGATGCAGATGAAGACAAGAGTTCTGAAGTGAAAACTCCCGAAAACTTTATTGAGGAAGAACCCAAGAGTATCAATGATGCTGAGGATGAGAGTACCGAGTTAGGCAAACATGATGGTAGTGAGATTAGCTTAAATGATGGTAGTATTGGGGTTGACGATGATGATAACGACCAAGCAAATGAAAAAGAAAACTATAAAAGTCATGATGTTGATGACGAAGGAGGTGTAAAAGTGGACAATAATGATGGTGGGAAAGCCACAGAAGGTGGCTGCATTCGAGAAAAAACAGACGAAAACGAAAGCGTTGAAGATACAGAAACAGATGAAGCAACGAGCGAAATCAAGGACATCATCAGGCAAATGTGTGAAGAATATACCGCTTGGACTGCAGTCACCACCCATAAAACCGCGGAAGCAGCGAACAACGAAAGCATTGCGGATATTATCAAGAAGCTTTGCGTAGGTTTCGCATGTGTTGAAGTCACGATAGACGAGACTCCACAAGCAGAAATTGAAAAGGCCATAGACGTCGATGATATTGCATATCATGAAGCACAGGAAGCTAAGGGGGAAGATGTCAACGACACTGATATGGCAAAAGAAGAGAGCATAATCGAAGTCAAGAATAAAGATTATTCCCTAGAGCACAAAGTCGAGGATAATAGAATCATGGATGAGAATACCGACGTTCACGACGATATGACTGCTGAGATAAAAGTTGAGAAAAGCGTCGAGGTTTCAATCAATGAAACCAATGACATGGAGAGTGATCAGCCACTCACGCGGGAGAATGAGAGCGCGGACGAGTTGATTGATTGGGATTCTACAGTAAAAAAGGTGCAAGAAGATGGCTCGAGTCTTGGGAATGAAGGCGGCTATATTACCGGTGGCTCTTTGTTGTGGCTTCGTAGCCTTGTCCGCAGGTTGCAACAACAAGGTAAGTCGAATGATCCGGAGGTACAATTGGAAGTACAATTGGAAGTACAATCGGAGGAAAAGAATTCTTTGGTACTTGAGGACGATATTAATGAAGTACAACCAGAAGTACAATCGGAGGAAAAGAAGGCTTTGCAACTTGAGGAGGACGATATCGATGAAGTACAAGTCGTTTCAACGGAGTTTGCATATGACTAATTGATAAACGAAAAAGGGTGCTTGTAATTGACATATTCTTCACCAACATACGAGGCAGTTAACAATAAAAAGACAATGATGAGAATCGGGAACCTTTGAGTGTGAGGGCTTGAAAGTGATAAGTTCTAATGAAATGAAGATGGCTCGAGGACAGCCATGGTATTCGCCAAGCCACTAGTTCCGTCTCCATCCTAACCTTCACGTGATTAATACCATCCAAACTTTTTCAAATATTTCGGGCTTTATTAGCCGTGAGTTCAGTGTTGCGTTACAGGGCCTCTAGGCTTCTCGGTTGCATAACCCACGACGACATATCTTGATGGCTAAATTCAATTTCACCGATTCACCAGGTCCTTTAAAATCTGAATACATATCAAAGCTTCCCAAGCCCCAATCTACAATGCAAGAGAAGTGATTCAAAGTTTCCAGTTTCTCACCAAACCCAAGCGCTTCTTTTAACAACAAGAGTCATAGACTTCAAATCCACTCCACTACACTACACTACACTACACTACTACTCCTGGGCTTATTTACATCCATCCATCCATCCATCCATCCATCCAAGATGTACATCTACAAATGGATACTCGTCACTCTAACCAGTCAAATCGTCCACTTATCTCACCAATCCTACCAATCCAAACTCAGTCCGTCACCCTGCAAAATGATCAACAAAAGCCTTCACTCTTTTTTCCCCATTACCCCATCACCATCAACGGCAGCCTTGGCTCTCTTATCCACAACCTCTTTATTACGAGGCGCAACGGCACCTGTTAGATGTTACGAAAGTATTCAAACACTTGCTTCTGCGAACAATTGTAAGAGCGGTTGGATGGAATGTGTTCAGGGTGATATGGTCTTAACGAAGGTCATATATGGAGAATGACAGCATATTGTCAACCTTGAACATGAGATAGATTTGTCTCTGTTTCAAATGGAAGCGGAAAGTCATCGACTCTAGACTTGGGCACACTCAATGGTAACTACCAAAATACTTTGGGACAAACTGATTGTTTATCTAATTAAATTTCGTTGAGTAATAACGAAGCTGATCTAGCACGAACTGTGTGCTTTCGAACTACTATGCACCAGCAGTAAAATTATACCTGCTCTTTCATCCCACCCCTCCCCAATAAATACAGTATAGTGCGTCATCTTATTTTTCCTTTCGCGACCTGTACCCCAACCCAAAACTCCATCAAAACTCCAAATGATCTCAAAATATACTACTTCAGCTCCATCACTGATCACTCTCCACCAAATATTTCCCCACAATCATCCACCACCAATCACCTACCTCCCACCCCTCCATATCTTGTGCATCTCTAGCAGTCGCCCCCAACCCTTCATAATCGCATTTTTGCCAAACACCTTTTTCAACTCCCCAATCGATTAATTGTTTGATTTCCCATGCGTCAAGACTAGGTGCGAATACTCTTTCTAATCCCTCGATATCGATACTACTTCGCAGAACGAACGCACCTGTAACTCCTAGGAGTACTTTTCTCCACATTGCCTCAATTACTTCTCCTATTATACTTCTCCAAACCGGAAGTGCGCCTCTTGGCCCAACAAACGGAGGTTCCGAAACCATGGCGTCAAGGTTAGGTATTGCGTGGTTGTAAACATAACTTGAAGTGGGCGCAATATCCATTTGAAAACGATATTTTGCTTTATCAATAAGTCTTGTTTCGTACCCGCCCTCGGTGAGACCGAATTTGTTTGCTCTGATGTTGCTTTTTTGGATGTGAATGCATCCATTAGCTTGTAAATTCGTGATAGCCAACACGGCACCTTCATTCACACCCCAAGGTATGTTCACAATAGTCTCCCCATTTCGAAACTTTTGATCCAACTCACACTTGAATAAGTAAGCCTCTCGGTATTGTTTCTCGAAAATGATCTTTCCGGTACGAACGAAAACAGCATTGAAAGCATCTGGAAGATTGTAAACTCGACCATTGGTACGAAGGCGTTTATTTTTGGTAATGATCTTGTTCTTCAACAAATCCTCTCTCGCTTCAATGATGATAGCACTTGGAAGACGATTGAGCAATTTGTTCGCTGCTTTGCTATCCCATAGATGATCTGGTGTAACGGCTGCAGCCCTACACCAAGATTTTGCAAGTGCATAGTCGGTAATCTCGTAATTGAGAGCATCTGGTTTCAATGGATTTGAAAAAGGTACAGAATTGACAAGATTCATCCTTTGATAAACGGCAGCAAGAGTGTAATAATACTGCTCAGACCAGTAGTTACTTCGGGTTTCGGGGACAAGTGCATATTTTTTTTTTAGTTCTGGGATTGAGTTTGGGAGGTCAAAGACTTTTTCTTCTTGTGTGGGAGTATTGATCTTTGACATGGCCCAATCGATTAAAGTGTTGAAATCATAGTCGACAATATGATCATAATCGATTGATTGAACTTGACCTTTTCGATATCCCTTAATGAAAGCCTCCTGAAAATCTTTTGTCAATTTATCGACCATTGGCTTTTTCTTAGCCCAAACAACCTGCCACCATTTCCTCAGGAAATTTAAGGAATAATCTTTGAAGACTGTTCCAAGAATAACCCAATCAATATTCATTTCTAATCCTCCAAGCATTGCTCGAATGATAACAATACCCATGGTTAACCTCGCTTCTTCGTCAACAGCTAAACCTTGCTCCTTGAATCTTTGTCTCTTTCTGCGGATGTTCATATCATAATTGACCATCTGAGTACCGAGTAATTCTGCCGCGTATCGAACATCTCTGTGGACACCAAGAAGATCATCCGGCGCTGATGTGAGACGTCTAGGCATTACCCATTTGTTCTTTAGACCTTTGCGTACACCTACATGTGGCTCTTTTTTCTGTTGTCTCTTGCGTTTGGCCCCAAGAATAGTTTCTTGCTCTGGTGGTAGATCATTATTGTCTTCGAGAGCTGAGTATGGTATGGTTTCCAATGTAAATGCAGTACGATCAAGCCATTGCAACTTTAGCTTTTCAGCATCGGTACAAGCTACGAATGGATGTGCAAGATTCCATAGTCCAGCAGATTCATCAAAGAACAAATGGGATAGACCTGGTGTCGCAGGAGTAGATGGTATACTATCTAAACCAGGATTGTTTTGGCAACCGATCTCCTTTTCTAGCGGTTTAGCCTCATAATGATTCAAAATATCGAGTTCGGTCAAGCCATTAATACTAGCCTCCGTCAAGTCCATAGGATCTGGGGTTAATGATCTATAAGCTCGCTTTGCAAGTCCAGTATGTCTTGATATATCATGATTTTTTTGTGATCTGGTATGATATGTATAATTTCGTTTTGGCTGTCCAGTAGTCTTCGAGATCTCTACTTGACCATCCGGTCGATCAACAAGATCTCCCCGAAGATTCTTGTTGAGAAGGAACTTTGATGGAACAGAAGGACGTATGATTAGTTTGTTAGGATGAATGACTGGTCGATGACTATCTTCCCGCTGCTGAAGATAATGTTCGCCTTGAGGATTTCCCACAGTAATCTTATTTGGTCTAGCAAATATGGGATTTACACCATGTCCAAAAGGTCTAACAGACCAAGAGCCAGAATCACTTTGTATGTATGTAGTTGGCTCCGGAAGACGCTCTCTCAACTTATAAGTTCTTTTTGGTTTGGCGGGTGTATTCCATGCGCTATTCGCCGAATTTTGTAACATCGTTGATTGTGGCGACCATATATGTTCTTGTGAAGCAGTTGTACGCTTCGTTCTTCTTGGTTCTTCGAAATTGGAAGTGTGAGTAGGACGTCTCGTGCGAGGTTTCATTGATTGACTATTATCAATATTTGCTGGAACCTGTTGATAAAATGGATGAAATTGCAACTCTCGCGTGGGGGTAGATCCTGAGAAGGGTGAAAACTCGCTTCCACCACCGTCCGAATCTACATCAAGATCCATTGGATCATCTTCAAGGTCATCTACAGCATCCAATGCGTGAACCTCAGGTTTGAACTCATCATCTGAAGAATCACCCCGGCCTAACTCCTCATCGGATCCCAGTACATCATTAAGTTGCGTTTCTGAAATCTTCGGGGCCAAAGGGGGAAGCTTTCCGACAGAATTCAGAATCTCCAAAATGACACTTGGTGGAGAAAATCCGACTGGAATGTAAAAATCAGGATGATTTGCTTTTGTATCATCTTGCATCTTGGTAATTTCAGCTGATGATGGAGCAACCGCTTTTGGATCAAACAAAATGCTCCTAGTTATAGTTCTGCTCCTAGCACCAGCAAAGTCAAAAGTGATCTTTGAAAGTGTTCCGTCCTCAAGTAACTCATCAAGAGCTCTTACAAATAACTTGTGTTCCGGGAGCACTCTAGAGTTATGATAATACTTGAGCCAACACGCGACAAATGCGAACCAAAGGCCACGCTCTCCCGGTAAAGCATTCTTGTTGGCCTGAAGAAGACAAAGAATCATATCTTTAACAACCTTTTCTTTCGACAATGGTGATACTAATTTCGGCAGTGATTTTTCTGGAGTTTGAGGTAATGAGGGAAATTTTGCGAGTTCTTCAACGAGCAATGGTCTCTGCTTGACGATTTCAGCAATTTTCAAAAGTGCTAGTCGTTCCCCTCCCAAAGATTTGTAAACCTTTCCATTTCTACCAATGACCGGATCTCCTCGATCTCCTCTACTTTTGATTGGAGATTTCTTCAGCCCAGCGACTTTAGCAGCCCATTCAAAAACGGAGTCATCCGAGTCGCCGTGTTCGGACTCGGACTCAGATTTATCTGACGGTTCAGGTTGAACTTCTTTCTCTAGTGAAGCCACAGATTTACTTCCTGCTTTTGTCACTTTCTCCTTTTTCGGTGTCTCCTTTCGTGGTTTGCCGTGTTGGCGTGGCTTGATAGACGGAGCCTTCCAATTTGGATTGCAAGTCGTTTGTGATTTAGAAAGATGATACTTGATACCTTCTTTGTTCTTGAACCTAGAACCACATTTTTCACATTTCCAGGGCTTAAGAGCAATCACTTCTGGATCTTCTGCCTGGATTATCTGAGGATTGGCCATTTGTACAAAAATTCGAGCAGTAACCAAATTTGCTCTCATCTCATTTGCAGACTTGTGAGCTTGCTTGGTGCGAGCAATCAAGAATCGATGAGCAGTAATGGATTCATCATCCATCTTCTCTTTCAAGCGTAACTCCATCGGATTCGAGCCCGGCATAGACACGATTGGATTTTCGGCCATTTTAAAAACTTGCATTGTCCAAATAGGCTCAGTTATACCTTCAGTCATTGACCAGAATTTCAATGTTGTTTTATCAGAAGATAAGATTAGATTTCCCATCACAGAATTGTAAATTGAAGACATGCGAGCAAAGATTGATTCAAATGGAATAGCATCAGCCTTTTCGAATCCTTCAAGATCATCAGGGTTGGCTGCCGGTGGCATGGTCACGGTTGTCTCGGCGACGGAGGTTGAGGATTCTGGCAATGTAGAACTCATCACCGCTGAGATTTGGGGGCTTGGGGTCTGTTTGATGTTGGGAATCGATTTCTCTCGTTGCTTTGATTCTGGAATTGGTTCGGAACTGGGCTGGATAGACGGTGATCTATGTCTTTGAACTGAAATGGGCTCCACTGAAGTGGCCTTGGACTGAGGCTCTGCAGTTTCGGAAGACTGGGTTTGATAAGGTGCATGATCAGGTTGAGACTGTTCCAGAGGCTGCATCAATACGAAATCTTGAACAGATGAAGCAGGCGCTTGTACTTGTGCTTGAGATAATGCCTGAGCCTGAGCCTGCTGTTCAATCTCGGGTCTATATGAGTGTGTATGATTGCTGGTAGAGGGTGAACAGGGTGGTAAAGGTTTTGGGGACTGAGTCCGAGCTTTTCTCTCCATTTCTGTTTGGGTTGGGTGTGCATGACTGTCGGTGAGTATCGCATCTTGTTTAGATAACGAAGAGTCTATTGGACCGAATTGCTGACTTAGAGGCGAAGATACTTGCATTTTTCCCAAACTGTTTTGTCTTCCCACAAAACTCTGTGGTTGTTTAATCTCTGTACAAACGGCGGTTCTAGAATATGAAGAAGAATCATATGGAACGGGAGAAACAGACCGAGGCTGAAATATATAAGGATGATTTGTTGACTTGGGACTATCATCTGGAGCTAGAGTGTTGGTAAGATTCTCTTGCGATGTATGAGACGATTTAGATGTATTCAAGCTATGAGATACAGAAGCAGGACTTGATTGCTGAATTGAGTCTATACTCGTCGGACTAAACGGAGAGGTTTCCAATGGCAGAGCATCCGGAGCTAGGAAGCCTGCCGGCCATTGAATCTTAGGTCGTGTCTGAGGCGGCTTCGGGGGTGAGGGGGGTAAAAATCCTGCAGGCCATGAATCTTGCGTTGGATCTTGGCGGTCTTGACTTTGTTGAATAGGACTTTGACGCAAAGGACTTCGATGATCCGGGGTATTAATATGAGTCGGATTTCTAGCAAGCCAAGGATTCGGGGCTAGGAATAAAGGTGTAGTCTGTCGGCTGTCTTCATACGGAGACCTGTACCTGTCAGCTGGAGATGGTGTAGGTATATCTGGTGCTTTGCCACGGTATGGTTGTTGATAATAGCGACCAGCAACTTGTTCATATTCAGACTGCTCTCTGTACGGTGAAACACAAGAATTGGAGTTCGATGCTGGAGGTAGAGAATTTCTCATATTTGCGTGTGTCTGATGTGTTTCTAATGGTCCATTCCATTGTGGGGGTTGTGAATGCTGCATAGCAGCTGAACGAGCTTCAGTCGCAATTGAGTCAGCCTGGTGAGAAAATCCATTATTGAATTTTTCAAATTCTAGTGCCAATTCTTCATTTGACGGGAAAGAGTCGGGGACAGTGTTGAAAGTTGTTGACTTTGCAGCTGATAGAGCCTTGAACTTTTCGAACTCTAGTGCCAGTTCCTCAATTGATGGGAAAGAGACGGAATTGAGACTGGGTCTTTCCAGTGGCTTTGCAGGCTCAAGTATTGCAATGTCTGAAGTCTTTCCAGTCTCAACAATGGGAGCTTCTGATGGCTTGGCCGTTACAGCACTGGGCGCCTCTGAGAGAATTTCAGGTCCAGGAATGGGCGCATCCAAAGATTTTTCAATTCCAGCACCAAGTAATTCCAATAATTTTTGGGGTTCGGTATCTGATGGCCTTGGGCGCTTTGAATTTCCTGTTTCAGATTTCTCGTCTCTCTTTCTCTTCTTAGACTTTTCCTCTTCAGTGGCAGCGGCAATCTTTGCAGCTTCCGACTCAACTATAGATTGCAGAGCTTTTCTTCTCTCAGCAAGTACCTCAATCCATGTTCCCTTTCTATTCCCCAACAAATCAGGGTCACGAAGTTTTGCGGATTTGATTAATACAACAAAAGTCTTTTTTCGAGCCAGCGATCTTCCTTCCTTAGAATCAAGAGGATTTATGTAGACACCATCGATTCCAGCTTTGCGCTTCTTGTCATCTTCTTCCCTTAACAAATCTTCATATGAGGTGAAAATAGGTTCACGATGCCTTCTGTGGGGCTTAGGTTTTGATGGGGTAGGAGAAGCCTGAGATTTTCCAGATTTCTCGACAACTGCAGGCTCAGGCTCTGGTGATGCTGTTTGAGTAGGAGTAAAGAACTTTCGTGGTTTTGGTTGTCTACGAGATGTGCGGAGTCCCGATTCTGAAATTTGAAGTCCTGTATTGGCTGTATCTTCAGAAGTTATCTCTGGGCGAGACTCACCAGAAGGTTCTTGGCGTTTGACAGTAGATCCTTTAGGACGGCCACGTTTTTTGGGTGGAAGTTTTGAAGTTTGAAATGATTCCAATTCGGCGAGTGACGAGAAGCTCATAGATGCAAGATCCTTCAGAGAGCCCACTTCCATTGCTGAACTACTAAGAGTGACTTGACGACCTGTGCCTTTTGGACGGCCACGCTTCCGTTGTCCCGGTACAGGTCCATGACGAGTTACTTCCCGCGCGAAATAATCAATATCATCAGCAGCATCCTCAATTGGAGTTGTCTGTTGGGCACCTTTATTATTGGCGCTGCTCGATTGTGGATATTGGTATTGGTATCCAACCATAGGTGCAGATTGGCCAGTTCTTGATGAATGTATTTTGATTGGATGTTTTGGAATGCTTATGTGTACTGCATCGCGTTTCATATCACTGGTTGTGGCGGTTGTATTTGAGACTTGCTCTGACAGATCTGGGTGTCCAATACGAGAGCCTACGACGATGGTATCTGCATTTGTCTCTGCTGGATTATAAATCTCAGGTGTTGGGGTATGGGTAATTTTGGTCGGAGGATGTCCGTTACTCTCGAAAACCTTCGATTCGTTATTATTTGGAAGAGGGGCAATTTTGGGAGTGTGAAACCCGTCAGCTTCGGCGCGTGCTGCATTTAAAAGACTTTGCAATCTTCTCTGGGAACCTTGTGTGCCTCGTGGATCATCTGCAATCTTGTAAGACTTCTTATTACCAGACCTCGGCTCAGAGGAAGCTGCTGCCCTTGTAAAGGATCCGGACGGGGTTGAATCCAATTGTTCTTGTGGTTCTGGTGATTGTTGCATCGGAGTTGTCACATCCGGAATGACTGAGCTAGGAATTGCCTTTGTTGATGAATCATTACTGACAGTGGTAAGTTGCTCCATTGGCTTTCGTGCTCGCTGTATCGGTGTTGTTCTATCTAGAATGACTGGCATAGAAGGGTCGATCGGGGCTATTGAGGCAGCAGGCCGTTCGTTGCTACTCGCTATCCTCTTTTCCGAATCTTTCTCGCTAGGTTCCTCCAAGGTGGTATCAACCATTTCAACATCAATCAACTCTGCGCGGACCACAACTTTTCTGACTCCATAGCCTAGAGCGACTGTATCACTCAACTCCAGACTCTTCATTACACCAACCTCTTCCTCAGAACCCTCTATCCTAACATCATCCCGATTGATAAAACCTTGCCAGACCTCATCTTTGATTTGCTCATTCGCAACAATTTCTTCCCTGAAACCTTCATCAAATTTCTCAGAAAGACTTTGTATAGCGATTCCTAGAAAATCTCCATCAGTAATGATCTCAACCTCGTGAAGTCTCTCTCTCTGTGACTGAAAAGGGCGGGCGATCTCCTTGGTCGATCACACGTGATGGACAATCCCATCACATTCGCGAGGAACTCCAAAAAACGATGGAAAAGAGTGCCCCGCTCTCTCAAATGCGACTACAGACCACTGCACCATCGTAACATTTTTGTTGAAACAAGTCTGCTCTTGAAGAAAACCGTGGATATCGATGATCCCAGTCACACCATATCCAATAGAAGGATTGATGGAATAAGTTTTGACAAGGCTGAAATGATTTTGAATATAAAATTTGACTCACCCTGCTCTCCTAAGTTCTTCACGAATTGATAAAGCCAATCCATTACTTCCTCTCTTCCTTTTGGCATTGTGAACAATTATCAACTTGCATTGTCTTATGGATTAAATGCGAATGCAATTGATAGAAGCAATAGAAATTTGTCAAATATTGAGGTTGTAAAAGTTGAAGATGTAACTATACAACGTTTATATTTCTGCGACCTGTGAATTGAAAGACAATTGATAAATCTGCGATGAAGGCTTTGAAGCTTAAAATTTTAAGCGGGTATTGCGGGGTTTTTGGTAGCCTTGGTGCATGAACTAGGCAAATCAACGATTGGTTAAAGTGAATTTTGATAAGGCTATGAGCCCGTGACCTCGAGTGAAGAGGTTGATTGGGACGACTGGAAACTAATAATAATGACGAGCAAGGCTGAGGAAAATTACTTGATTTGATGAAATGAATGCATTCGGGGTTACTCAATACTAACAATAAATCTTTTCATGATATGATTCAAAGGTTCGTACTTCTTATTATCTAAGGGTAAATTGGAGTTGTTCCTATCAAGTACTAGGTATATTACTGTGACTTGACTTTGTCCTTATGATCCTTCATCATTTGTCTATATGATTCAACAATATTCTTCCTCTCTTCACCCAATTCTTCTCTTCTCCTTAAACTTCCAGCTGCTTTGGGTACATCTGAAACTTCTACCTTGGCTCCGTGAAGCTCCTTAAACTTGGCTTTTGGTACCTTGGTGAAAGTTGGCGGAGCCTGTACCACATCATTCAACCCACCCTTCACTTCACCTCTATTCTTCGCAATTATTGCCCAAGGATCATCATTTCCATCATCAATTTCTCCCAAAACCTTCTTCTTCTTCTTTTTATTCTTGCTTGTCTTTCCATCTGTGTTTATGTCGGATTTCCATTGCATTTGCCCCTCTCCATCCATCTCCATATCATCCTCCTCCCTCAATTCTGCTGCTTCTTGTCGTTTCTCTTGAATCTTTTTCTCTTCTTCCCTCCATTCATCATACATTCGGTGCATCTTCTTCTCCGTCTTTGTACGTCCCTGCTTGAGACCCAATGGATCTTTACCACCTCTAGAACTTTTATTAATCAATCCTCCAACTGGTAATGCCGCATCAACTCTTGCTGAAAACTCGGACATCTTTTCTCCAGGTCTTATTTTGGGAGTTTCCACGGCTGGCTCTTCTTTCTTTGGTGTTGGCACATTCTTCTTTTCCGAATCATCGTCGTTATTCTTCGCCTTTTTGACTTTTGGTTTTTTCAATCCATCATCTAATCCTTTGGGTAATTTCTGTCCAGATTTAAAGGCCATAAGCCTCGCAAATGCTTTAGGTGTGTCATCGTCGGCGTTGGGATTTCTCTTTCTCTTCTTGTTTTTGCGCGTAGAATTCAGTTCGCTGGTAAAGATTCCATTGGCATTGCTGGATTTAGAAACAGGTAAAGGTTTTGCGATAGTAGTGGGTGGTAGGTTGATACTGTTGATATTGTGTTAGTAATTTCATGCGAAACATCATTTTGTTTGGAGACTCATACGTAGATTTGTCATCCCCTCCTTTACGTGTATGTTTATGCGGCATGTTTTCTAAATGATTCGAAAATGATGTAGTATCGTCGTTGTCATTTAAAATCTCCAAGCAGTAATCTAGATTTGCGCAAAGAGATAATGGAAATTAAGTTTTTCTGCCACGAGGTCTTGGGCGGTGAGATCTTTAGCTTGGCATCATTGATATCCATACCATCGCACCACCAGCAGTGAGTGCACCATGCTACAGCCATTCAAAATACGAGACATCACATTGTCAAACCAAATACAAATCCACGATAAATTGAAAAGCCAATGCCTTTATGATATTTTTACCATCACCTCATGCAGTGAAATTATAGGACATTTTACCATATAGAATCATCATGCCACCTCCACTCTCAAACCTAAACCTTGAGAAAATCACAAAACGATGGTCTCGTTCGTTCCCAAGCAATAAACTCTGCATTGGACGTCTTGAAGCATTCTTAATGGTGGCTTTTAACACGTGCCCAACAAAAGCGGCACGATTGTCCTTGATGGTCCCTGATAATTGATCCTGATGGTCTAGATCCATTTGTGTGGTCCATGGGGTAAGATTGAAACGGCATATGAGATGAAGACGTGGAAAGGTGTGCTTGATCGATAGGAAATGCTTGGACACATGACCGAAAGCAGAATCATATCCGGGGATATATGTATGTTGAGATGCAAAATGTTCAAAGGATCGGATCACGTTTCTGAAATCATTTGATTCTCTGTCAAGTCACAACTGAAGAAAGGGTGCTATAAGAACTATCTTTAATTTTCCTATATTAAATTCTTCATTCCCTACATGACTCTTGCCTTCTCTTCTGGACCACCATGATCCTTTCCCTTCCTCCTGAATAATACAGCACAACGCCAAGCTGGGTACTTTGTACAGCCTTATACGAACTTCCCAATCAGAAAGCTTGAATCTCATCGAAATCCCCATCCTAAAAATCCTACTTGTCCTACCCTGACCAACAACCGTACCAGACCTAATGTCAACAGCCTGTTTTACATATACGGAAATACTCCAACCTTAACTACGATATACGAGTTCTCCTTCATGTTCGTTCTGCTGTCTGATCTGTCAGCAGTGACATTTCCCTACAACAAGTGCACGGAACTTGGGGTCTGGGGGGCGCTTTGAATCTACACCAAAATAGCAAAACTGTCTCAAGTATTTAATACCTCATAATTGTCCTTCAACACTTCGTCCAAGCAACTGTTCAGACTCAAACTACAGCTGGTTTCGTGTTGAAGTCAGTTATTAAACGCAAATCTTTGATTCGAATTGGAATTGTTCCAACACTTCTATTTATATTGGAGCGAAAGCCCTGCCAAGGCTCTCAACTTTGTTCGATAAGACTATCAATACGGGAAAAATCATGTCCCACTTATCATCCCGTCATGGCACAGGAGCTACCGAGATATATGATGAAATGACGGAAATGTTAAATGGTTCAATACGGAATTCTCATGATGACGATATTCAAGCTTCGAATCATTCATCTAGTTCCTTAACTCGTTCTAGTTCAACAATGGAGAAATCCAGGAAATCAGCAGATTCTTTTGAATCTTCGGATACACCGACTCTACGAGATGAATTCATATCAAGACCGAGGAATTCGAATCAGACGAGTAGGGCGAGTAGGGCGAGATATTGGTTGAATAAGATGACTTTGAAGAGTAGGAGGAAATCATCATTTGATGAAATTGAAGGATTTGAGGATTTCAATATAGATACAACTTTGGATGTTGGGAATGGATTATTGACGGGTTTACATAAAACGACTAGACGGCAATCGAGAAAGAATGGAATGTTCAATTATTTCGTCTTTGGGGGTATAAGTGGTCTAGGAATATTGTGAGTTTTTCAAACATTCTCTATACTTAGGAATTTAGTACTAACACCTCCTAGATCAATTCTTCTTTTCACAAATCTTATACTTGGGGCCGCAACCTTGTTTTGGGGTCACGATATAGATGATGTTCTAAAAAATTGGGGGAAATCTGGAACAGGTACAGAGGATTTGGCTTGGTATCCAACCGACTTCACACGAGATATCAATCCTGTTCCATGTCATTCACACAATGATTATTGGAGACGAGTACCATTATTCGATGCATTAAGAGCAGGATGTACAGGAGTAGAAGCAGATGTTTGGCTTTTCGATAATGATTTATACGTTGGTCATAATACTGCATCATTACAAAGAAATCGAACATTTCAATCTCTTTACATCAATCCTCTTGTCGAAATTCTCGAACGACAAAATCCAACTACTGATTTTTACAATGGAACAAATCATGGAGTTTTCGATGCGGATGATGGGAAATCCCTAACACTTTTGGTGGATGTGAAGACTGATGGTGCAGAAACATGGGAATGGGTCCTTCAACAACTCGAACCATTAAGAAAACGTGGATGGCTTTCTTACATGGAGAATGATACTTTACATACTCGACCTATTACGGTTGTTGGAACGGGAAATACACCATTCGATACCCTTACCAAAAATTCAACATATCGCGATGCATTTTTTGATGCACCACTTGACACAATGTGGGAATCACAACATACTACTGAGGAAATGAAAGATTGGTCTAAATTTGAAGATGGTGCATCAGAAAAAGGATCAGATGAAGACGGAGAAGGTGCAGAGGAGCGAGCTGTATCGATTCCAGCGAGAAACCCTGTGCCAATTCCTCATAAGAAACCAAATAATGGACAGGGTATGTCTGGTGTATCACCAGATACTGATTTCAATCCCCTAAACTCATATTACGCATCTGTTTCTTTCAAGAAAGCAGTGGGTACAATATGGAGAGGAAGACTAAGTCCTGAACAAATGAAGATCATTCGTGGGCAACTTAGAGGAGCACATAGAAGGGGATTGAAGGCTAGATACTGGGATTTACCAAGTTGGCCCATTGGGTTAAGAAACCATGTTTGGGATGTTCTTGTCAAAGAAGGAGTTGATTACTTGAATGTAGATGATTTGAAAGCGGCAGCAAAACAATTTTGGTGAGGGGATTCTAGATTTTGTTCTCGAAGAAGAAGTTTGCAAAGACAATGGCGACAAATGGTGTAAGGCATGTTTGGGTGTGTATATGATGGTGGGTTGATCATTGGATATCAGTATGGGGTATATGTATGAGGGCTTCCCGGTACATAGATGGCGTTTTTATCTGCATTAGCATTGGGTATACCTTGGGAGTAGTTTGATTTGAGGAGTTGATTAGTACGATATTGTAACCGAGTAGTTTAGTATGTGAATAGAAATAACATTTACATTCTGGGGATGCTTGTGGTGATATTTCGTTCATTCAGATCTTTGCAACAGCAGTCATGACCCGAGAAATTCGGAAAAAGATTGATAGGCGAGAAAGTGGGAAAAGGGAGGGAAAGGGTTGAATACGGATGGGTGAGGAAGAAAGAGTGAGGAAAGAGTAAGAGAGGAAAGAGATGGGAGAATATTATCTCGAAGTCGACTAACTATGCTGTACCATAACTAATGGTAACGCGCAAGTAACTACATCTCCTATCCAGATTTGGAGCTTGCTGCCGAAAATAATTTACAAGTATGTCTGAGCAAAAAGAAGGGGAAAACCATAACTTCTGGTTACTCAAAAACAGACCTTAAATAAATTCGACTTAAGGAAGTATTTCTAGAGACAAGGCAAGGTCCCACTAGAGATTGGCGAGTCATTGGGCCTACCCTATTAGTCCTGCTACGGCAATTGGGTTCCCACTTGGGTACCTAGTGACCATTACATACTCCACAACATATATCCAACGTCACCACGGACAGCTTGACGCAATTTTGGACATGAATAAAAAGGACTTATTTGCTATCTATTCTGTTTTAATTTTCATATCTACCATATCTCTCATAAGAGGATTTAGATCTCATAAAAGACTGCGCAGAATTTCTCCTATGAGTTATCATTCAATATCCCCATAACTTGGTTCATCAGCATATGAGCCATATCAGCATGTAGGCCACTTCGAAAATGCATCAAAATCAAGGTTTTCTTAATATTTATATTTTAATAATCAATCATTACTTTTCAAAGAAAAATTTAAGAAAAATTATAATAAAAATAGAATATTTATAATATTTTGATTTTTTTTAAAAATAATTTATCTTAGTTTGAAATTATTACACTTTGTACTAAGTTATAAAAACTCTTTTTCTTTAATAACTTTAATAATAATTATATTTTTGAAAACAGAATTAGATTTTTCAAATTGTTGAAAAATTAGGTTTTATATGAAAGGGTTTTAAAAAATTCTATTGGTTAATAAAGAAAGTGTACAGTTATACACAAACAAATTTTGTATATAAAATGAAGTAGCTCATGTAGTAATATAATCTACATGCTGATGAACCACGTTATAGGAATTTTATAAATGAAAAGGAACCATTCCTCATCCATCAACCAACCATCGAACTGATTCCATCTATTTTTTGTTCCCTGGATGCTGCGGACAGATCTTCTGGAAACTCATATGATCTGATGCACCACATCGGAGGCAACCCTTAGGTACGCCTTGTGCGCCTGTTGTACCAGCAAGATGGTTATTGGGACCTGTGTGCTTTGGGCCTCTTTCATCCGAATTTGATAGCAACGAGTCTGGTGGACCTCGTCGCCGCTCTTGCTCTTGATTTCGAGACAAGTAATTGAAGGCTGGTGGACCTCTCTGTTGTTAGTGTTCTTGCTCTTGATCTCGAGCCAGATAATTAGTGGCTGGCGGATATCGTCGTTTTTCTTGTTCTTGACCTCGAGCCAGAAAATTGGTGCCTAGTGATTCTCTTCGTTTTTCTTCTTCCTAATCTAGAGCAAGGTATCCGGTCACTGGTGGACCTCTTCTTGATGGTTGATCTCGAGATAAATCATTAAAGCCTCGTTGATGCTCTGGTTTTGACTTCTGAATATATAGTTGGAAACCGGTGGGTCTCGTCGCTTCTTCTGTTTTCGATTTCGGGAAAGGTAACTGGTCACTAGTGGACCTTTTTGTAGGACTGGTCGATTATTTCTAGACAATTCGCTAATAACTATAGGGGCTCGTCTTACCACTTGATCTGGATGGATGCTTCCCGATGTTTCTTGTTGACGTTGCTGCCCTTCATTATTTACACTCACAAGTTGCGGCAATGTTAATTCTTATCGTTAACGTTGCTATTCTAATGAGGCCCAATCTTCAATCCGAATGTCTTCATTCCTCTGGTTCTCCGCAATATCAATGTCTTCTAACACTTGGGTATGGCGAAGTCTCTTGACAGTACGAGTCTCAACCTCTTCATCCCCTGTACGCTTCTGTTCCACAATAGAAGGGGGTCTCTCGATTCTGGGCTCTGTGGTGTAACGGGTAGCATATGCCGCGGGCGCGGCGTCATTCAAAAATAGGAAGGTCGATGGTGGGAGGGGATGAGGATCTATAGATTTTTAAATAAAAAAACATTATTTTAATCACGATTTAATCTTAATCAAAATGATTTTGATTAGAATTAAAATTATTTTAATTAAATTTTAATTTCTTTTTTTTAAAAAATTAAAATCATTTTGATTAAGGTTAATTTCATTTTAATTTGAACTTCTTTAATATCGCGAATAGCTGTTTATAGGAGTTTAGGCCCCGGCTTATTATATACTAAGTGAAAATATACTCAAAACTCTTATTTCTTTGACTTTTAAACTATATATTATTTTAATTAATCTTTGAATTAAATTTATAAAATTAATATATAAAATCTAATATTATTGAAATGATTCTAAAAATAAATGAAATATTTTTAGTATTTTTTTTTCATAAAATTGTAGATTCTTAAAATTAAAAATATTAGGAAATTTAGAAAAAAAGTGATTTTTTTTATATGGGAAAAGTATTATATATTATAAATTTTGAAAAATCTTAACTTTCAAAACGTATAATTTTATTAATTTTTATATTTTCAAAAAACTATTTAAACTAATGATTTTTTGTATAATTGTTTTTTTATAAGTATAATTTTCAAGTAGATTTTTTAGATAATTAAAGAATTATAAAAAAAAATTAATTTGTATAGGAAAACTGTATTTTTGCTTAGATCGCACGGACCATCAATCGTATCTATTCTGCCCATTCATACCCTCACATCAACTCCCGACGTGGATGCCTTTGTAGAGATGACAATCTTGTCATTCCTTTTCATTCCTTTGCATTGTCTAATAGGCATAAACTATCTCATGAACATTCGTATACACATAAAACAAGCCGAGTTTTCGTCTTTTAGCTCTCGTGTCCCCTCTCCCTTTGGTTTTATTGCCTCCGCTCTGATTCTTCTCCATTTACCGTTTCCTTCTTCCCTTCTTGATCGTCAACTCTCTTCCAAATATCCCTCGAGCTAAGCAATGTACTAATAACAGTCATCCCACCTACAATACCCCTATCACTGACAATCCACCCCGTTCCCGCTCCAGGTTGAAAAAGATCGGCTGCATTCTCAACAATTTTGAGAAATATTTCACTCTTGGATTTCCCCTTTTTCTTATTCTTCTCTGGTGGCTCTACGGCAATGTGCGCGTCTTCGACTGGTTTTGCTGGTAGTACTGAATCATGTGGACTATTCGTCAGGTTCGGCTCTGGTGTCGAGTCGTTATTGATAATTAGATGGTAAAGATCCCATAGCCCTCCGAATATCGATATACAAAGCGAATAGAACCAAAATTTGTTGCCTTCTAGGGTACATGTTGAGGACCAAGGGGTATTGCATACACCCATGATATCTAACTGTTTAATGAACTGGGATTAGTAATTTCTCTTACGTGCCTTTTCTGATCCTGTTCTCTTTAAAGGGGGGTTGGTAAGGAAAATACTGGGTAGGTAGCACTGACAATGGTGAGACTTTCCACTAATTGAGAAGGTCTTGGTTAGTCAAATTTTAAGAATACGAGAGTGGAAAGTAGGAAAGGGGTGGAAAAGAAGCAGAGGGGCAAGAGAGCATGAGTGTAACAGACTAGGAGCGTTGGGATGTCCAAGGGCGGCAGTGCGGAGTTCTAGAGATGCGGAAATGAAGGGGCACAGGAGCATCCAAGCATAGGAGTGTAGAGCGCCGGAGTACAAGAGAGCGAAGGCATAGTGATATAGGAAGGGAGAAGAACAAGAAAGGAAACAAAAACTCACATCCCAAATAAGCACCCATAAACCCCGATTTACCCACATTAATCAACATTCTCATTCCATCTTCATTTAACAAACTATCCCATGCTTTTGAGAAATTCTTGATGAAGCGGAAGAAACGCATATAGCGACGTCCTGTGTAGATGTTAGCTGAGGCTCTTATTTTTTATTCATTCCTTCGGTGATCGCTTCTCTCTTCGAACATGTTCAGGATGAGGACTGAGGATATGGTGGACGGAATTCCCTCTTGATCTTTCTTGGATTTGGGATATGGAGTCAGGGAGAGATTGGGTGGGAATTTCGCACACTAGTACGAGTATCTCATGCCTCATCCCAGAGTATATCCCTCCACTCGCTGACTCTCTTCTTTATCCCCTCATCCTGTAGTCCCTCATCCTGTAGTCCCTCATCCTGTAGCCCCTCATCCCATCACTCCCCCTCCCCATCAACCAAGAAACAAAACATACCAACCGCAAGTTCCCTCCTCGCCTTCCACAACTTCTCCACAATCAGCACCCTTACCTTCCCATCCATACCCCACTCCCCCTCCCCCACAGCCCCCCTTCTCCCAATCCCAATCCCCAATCCCAACAAAATCCACCCCAAAACCGTCGGATAAAATGCACATATCTGACACAAAGCTTGTATCAATCTTAGGGTTTTTTCTAAGCCGGCTTTTCATTGAGTATAAAGTTAGTAGATAATTTTTTATATTGAATAGAGGGATACATCATAGGACACGTGAGTTTAGAGGAGCGGTAAGAGAACAACAGGGGAGGGAGGATGGAAAGAAAAAAATAAATACCATACCAGCATCTGAAGCAAAATCCACCGCATGTTTTAAAACGCCCATTTTATTGATGTTCCTTCTTCAGAGAAACGTGCCAGGTTATAGCAATCCACGGCACTGACCTTGGAAGTAGTAATAATGTGAGAATGAATTTCGTATCGAGCCGAACTTAGTACGCTTATATCTTCTTAATCACAACAATCCTTTTCCGTATATCTAAGAAACAGTAGTTATGCGAAAGACCAAAATACTAAGGAGCGTACCGTACTTATATCATTGAAAAACCCCTCAATGACGAAGTTTGAGGATCAGAACTAATGAATGACAAACATTTTATGCCCGACCCAACTTGCATGGAAAAGTTCTTTGTGGAGTAAAAAAGTGAGGTGGCACTCAAGATCGCTTAGCTAGGAACATCCTAATCCTGTCCCCTGAAGGATGTATCGGTGTCTATGATTTGCTACGGGTTATTGAAATGCCAATATTCTCTACCGTATGAATATAGCCATGATTCCACTCCTCATGATTCACATACAGATAGTTATTCATAACGCAGTATTAAATCCATCACATCTCGAAAAGCCAAATGAACTAAAATATTGGCTTCCAATTGAAAAAAAGGCACTCATGCTGGTAATCAATAAATACATTTACACCCGCCTATGAACAGTCGATCATTCCATTCACTTCCCAATCCATGCTCCGCTTCACTGCCTAATTTATTGCCCAGGTGAAATAAGTTTACCTTGTTGCAATGCATTATTGTCCCAACCACCAGCCAATGCTGAACCACCATTCTTCTCTGCATAATCCTTCATTCTTGCCTCCAATTCTGGTCTGAAATGTCTAATAAGACCTTGAATAGGCCAAGCAAAAGCTTCTCCGAGAGCTATTGACATCCGTCAGTCAAATTCATCATAAAAGAAAAAGATATACATACCACAAATAGTATGACCCTCAACTTGTTTTGTAAGTTCTTGTAACATATCAATCTCGCGAACTCTACCTTGACCCTTTTCAAATCTCTTCATGATTTGTTCAGTCCACTTGCTACCTTCTCTGCATGGTGTACATTGGCCACAAGATTCATGTCTATAGAAATGACTCAATCTTGAGATGGCACGTACAACATCAGTACTCTTGTCCATTACAATAACAGCTGCTGTTCCAAGACCGGATTGACTATCCTTTAATGCATCGAAATCCATCAATTGATCATCACAGACACCCTTTGGTAAAATTGGTGTAGATGATCCTCCAGGAATGACAGCTTTAAGGTTATCCCAACCTCCACGAACACCACCACAATGTTTATCAATGAGTTCTCTGAGAGGAATACTCATCTCTTCTTCAACAGTACATGGGTTGTTAACATGACCAGAGATACAGAAGAGTTTTGTACCAGCATTTCTCTCTCTGCCAAAGGAAGCGAACCAATCTCCACCTCTTCGACAAATTGTTGGTGCAACAGCAATAGTTTCAACATTTGCCACAGTTGATGGACATCCGAAAAGACCGACAGCAGCAGGGAAAGGTGGCTTAAGACGAGGCTTTCCTGGTTTACCCTCGAGTGATTCAATCAAAGATGTTTCCTCACCACAAACGTAAGCTCCCATTCCACGATGTACATAAACATCGAAATCATATCCACTACCACAAGCATTCTTTCCGATCAATCCATCCTTGTATGCTTCTTGGATCGCACGTTGTAGAACGGTAGCTTCGTGATAAAATTCTCCACGAATATAGATATAGGCGGCCGTACAGTTCATTGCTCTTCCTGCAACTAAACATCCTTCGATAAGTTTGTGAGGATCCTTTCGCATAATTTCTCTGTCCTTGCAAGTTCCGGGTTCTCCTTCATCTGCATTTACAACGAGATATCTTGGTTTGTTGTCATTCTCCCATCCTTTGAAGTTCATGAATGACTATCATAATTTAGCTTCATTCATTTGCTTTATGAAACATGAAACCTACCCATTTCATACCCGAAGGAAATCCAGCACCACCACGACCTCTCAAACCAGAAGCCTTAATTTCGGAGATGATCTATTTCGGTTGTCAACTTCTAACCCACACTGTAGTTGCAAACCTTTCCAACATACCCAATCATGACCCTTTGCGAGAATATCCTTCGTTCTGTGCCAATCACCATATTTCTTCGCACTCGCAAGATCCGCTCCGTGATGGCCATATAAGTTTTGAAAGATTCTATCTTGATCTCTCAATCCACCCCATTGTGTCTTCTTTGGTGGAGGTGGTGTATCTGCGACTGTGGCAAGTCCTCTAGATTGTTGTATCGAAGAAATCGAAGGTGTTAATCGTGCTGTTGTTGTAGAAGTAGATAGGATTCGGGTTGAAAGTGTCGAGGCTGCCTTTGCAGAAGGCGCATTTCGCGAAAGCATTTCGATGTGTATTTTGTGCTCAATGGAGCGTTGTTGTGAGTGGAGAGTGATCGGATTGGGGGGGAAGTTGAGGTTGTAAATATTTCCGAATAGTTCAAGTCATCATAGAAATCATCAATGTTTGATTGGTTGAAATGACAAAGCTTTAAAGTGGTGGCGATAGCCGAGAACTTCCGTTGGTAAGTCTGAATCTGGAACTTTAAATTTTTATGTATTCCATCTAGTTACCCATTTACTACTACTCTACTACCGGTACTCATGTATGAAACAAATGGTCATGTGCATTGATTATTGTCTTTGAAACGTCTTATTCTTTGAATTATCATCTGAATATACTTGGGTATTAGTAAGATTGATAAGTATTCAGAAATTTTATAGAAGCAAGCGGCAAAATTGATATGATTTGCCCTTTCAATAATACCTGACGCTTTGCTATACAATCGGGCACAAAGATTACTTACAACAACTTCCATTGACCCTCTAGCAGATACATCAACCACCTCCACAAGCATCGAATTCGTGTTCGGGTTTATCAATACAACAAAGTATTGGCCAGTTCTGGCCGCTATTTACCAGCACCTACCAGCATTTCCCTGTATCTACTTTGCCAAAGACCTACACTCTAGAGTCTACGTTCAAGCCTCGACACCGCCCATCACCAATCATGTCCTCCGCCAAACGAGCTTCCATGCTCCCTCCACCTCCTAAACCTCCGATTTCATTCTCAAACAATATCACCATCGCAGACCACGCCTCGCTCATTGGCACAAATCTCATAACCATTCGAGGACATACCATTCTTCATCCACGTACAAAATTGAATAGCAGTTTTGCTCCCATTACAATCGGTACACAATGTGTTATTGGTGAACGTAGTTCAATTGGCATGTTGAATTTTCCATCCGAAGAACAAGCTGAAGGTGTCACATTGGAGAATGGTGTTATAATAGAAACTGGAGCTATTGTCGAGGCAAAATTCGTGGGACAAGGAACTCTGATTGAGATTAATGCAAAAGTGGGAAGGGGAGCCGTCATAGGAAAGGTATGGATTCTGCAAGTAAAAATGGTAACGATGAAATGCTAATCATATACTTTACCTAGCACTGCAAGATTGGACCAATGTGCGAGGTTGAAGAAGATGAAGTCATTCCAGATTATACAGTGATATATGGAAATGGATTACGTAGAATAGATAAAAGTGGTGTGGAAGGTCTCAAGATGAAGATGATCGGTCGACATGTAGATGTGCTTAGAAGGCTTGTTCCTAGCAATTTATCTAAATATCAATGATACCCTTTTGATTTTCTTATACTCCTGATATTCGTTTGCCTCAATACTCATCATAGGTATAGTTATGCTACTATTCTTCATACATGATTTCCGTAACTCCTAAAGTTCCATCACTCTTAAAAAAGAAAAAGAAAACGGCCAAGCAATGGCTATGCAAATCTGAAATATAATACAAGCAAATATAGCTCAACTTTTGCCCATCAACTAATTACTTCCTCCTCCACCCCTAGGACGTTTTCCTCCATTTCCTTGTTGACCACCTTCTGGTACAGGTCTCTTATGTCCTGGCTGAGCATTTGGACTAAAATTTTGAGCTGCTGCATTCATTCCTCCCCGTCCCGTAGGATTACCCCTTCCTCTACTAGCGGCTCCTCCACGTGGTTGATAAATACCTCCACGACCACCAGCACCTATATTTCCACCCCCGCGATTTTGATTACCGCCACGCATTTGTGGTAATCGTGATTGATTTCCTGCTTGAGGGGCCTATAATTCATTAGTATTAGATGTGAGAGGATTTCATTCTTGGAGGTGTTGCTTACAGATGGGATATTACTGACTGGAAGTGAAGAGGCACCATTGGTGGATGGGGTTATTGGACGTGGGCCAGAAGGGATACCACTCTTTAGAGGCTCAGCCTCCTCATTCTTGGTGCCTTCTGAGGGCGCACTATTGGGTTGGGTGCCGGCTACGTTGGTGGGTGGTACAGCAGCTGTTGTGGTATTTGCTGCTGCTGGCAGAGCTGCTGGAATCGGATGGCTTGGTATCGATACTGTGGCCGCGGTAGCAGCTGGTGTTGGTGGAGGTGGTTTAGCATTTTTCGCAATCTCCCATACCTCGCCGACAGGCCTTTCAGGGGTATCCGCCGCAGCTTTTTCAACCACTGTAATTTTTGCAGTTGCGTTCTTCACCCTATTGTCCAACATGTTGAGCTTTAATGATGACTTCTTCTCTGCCATCAAAACAGCCTGTGCTTGACTGGTTTCGGCCTTTGCTTGAGCTTCAGATAAGGTAGCTTCGGCTTTCTTCTTTTCTTCGGCAAGTTTTTCAGTCACCAATTTATCTTGCTCCGATTTAAGTTTCTGAGTCTCCTTCTCAAGTAGCTTCTTCAAATTATTGGCAAGAATACTCTTGATTGTTGGATTTGTTGATAAAAGATGTCGAACTTGGTCATCCGAAAGATCTGAACCATCAGCTGATGGTGCAGCAGCTTTACTCGGAGTGGCGGGTGTCGCTGGAACGGCATTTTCTTCTACCTTAGGAGCAGATGGAGTAGGTGGTGGAACTGATGAATCAGAAGTTTTATTCTCTGCAAGCCAAATTTGTTTCTCTTGCTCAAGTTTTAACTTGAAATCAGCCTCGAGTTGT